GGCCCAGCTGGGCTGCTTGCTCCGACTCCTGCGGGCCAGCGGAACCCCAGCAACACCCTCGTGGACGAACTGGAGGCTTCTTTCGAGGTGACCTGCGACGGCACGGGCGCGGTTGGACGGTGTTGCGAACCGGGCGGTGGCGGGGAGGCGAAGGGTTGCAGACCTAGGAAAGGTTGGACCTCTCTTCACCTTTGAGCGAGAGGCCTCCCTCCCCTTGAAGGTGGGAAAAAAACAGGAAAAGGGAGAATTTATTGTTGTTTGGACTTCTGTACCGCCCGCTTCTCATCTCCGCGCCGTCGCTTGCGGGGCAGGTAACGGCATAAAAGCGACAATGTTCCTATGGGTCGCAAAGAGGCTTGCGGCATTCTCATTTTCTTTGAGTGGGAACTTCCTAGAAAAATCGGTGGGGAGGCCTAGTCGACACTCTGCGGCAGCACCCCGTCCGGTCGCAGACATTGTTTTCTTTCCAAGTCACGTCTTGTTAATCGGGTTACTGTTTGGTTTTTTCCAGTCATCTTTGTTGGGGGGGGGGCGAGAAGGGAGACAGACTTGTAACAGTCTTAGAATATTGTCCACTTTCCGGAGGGCAGCCCTTATGATTCTGCTGCTGCTTCTGGAAGGCCAATATACTTGTGCTGGTGTCAGCTTCGTTAGTTTCCTCCACTGTGGTGTAGGAAAGTTTATGCCAGCCTTCCAGACGTTTTTGACTTTATCTCCCATAAGCCCCAAACAGCATGGCCTATGGCTCGGAATGCTAGAAGCTGTAGTCCAAAACATGGAGGGTGGTAGCTTGGCGTGGGCTGGCTTGTGATGTAACAAATGCATCAGTGTTTAAAATGCAGTTGTTGCTGCTGTATGCTTGTGGTAAATCTGTGGCATATTTGATTGCTCCTAGCCAAAAGGGGCCTGTGTGGTACGAATGGTTTAGGGGTGACTGACTTAGGGATAAAACCTCTGAAAGAATCACTGCAGGCATGTCTGTGATTGACAACTTAATCTCCATGATGTGCAAATTGGGCTACGCAGATTTGGAGAAATACTGTAGAATATGGCAAACATTTGCACTCTCATTTATGGGATTTTTTTTGTTGATTTCTAATTGTTGCTTCAATATAATTATTCTGATGTTCAGCTCTGTGAGGGGCATCTTTTCATTCTTAACACTTTCTTGATTTGGGTAGTAAAACTACATGGGTATACTTTTAGATGGATAGATCCATGTGATTATTCAGTATTAGACTGTACTAATGGCAATCAAGAAGCTATAACCTCTTAATGGGATGTAACTTGAGTTTCCTCTGTTCACAGTGAATTCTAGGATGTCTGTATGGATGGATGTATATAATTTTTTCCTATTGCTTAGGCTTGCTTTGCTTCTCTTGTGAGTCAAGATTATGTGAATGGTACAGACCAAGAAGAGATTAGAACAGGTAAGCTTCTGTTACATTTTCTTTTTCATTTGGGATTTTATTTTATCTGTGCTACAGTATTTCCTTCTTCATTTTCTGTTTTTCATCTTATACAGATTTAACTTCTTTTATTTACAGAAGATAGAAGACGTCTTACTGATTTTTCTGTTTAAGACAGAAGTCTTGCGCACAGCATGGAAAATCCAAATCGTTAAATATAGGCTCAAATCCTATTTATGCCTATAGAAAGTGAACAGTGCAACTCACAGTACTTTGTTACTGCTAATTACTGAGTCTCTACTTGAATTTCTTGGTGTGTGCTAATCCAGTTGATGGCATGTACCTTGGAAATTAAGTATGGGCTTGTTATTTGCCATCAAGAAGTCTCTAGAAGTTATGCCATTTGCATTCTGCACGCATAACTATATAATAGGATTTTCTTTTTGTTTTTTACAGGTCACTTTCTGATTTTGGACACTCCACTGTTGTTTTTGTTAACAGTATACTTTAAAAAATTAACTTCAGTCTCATTTTTGTATTTTTTTAAGAAGGCAATGAGTGCATTATACTTTGGCCTAAATCCATTTGTTGATCATAAGTAAACACATACGTGGGGCTGCCCACTTCAACAGCTCTCAAATTCAGTGCCAGGTTGATTACAGGAGTAAGCAAATTCCATCATATTACTCAAATCCTGGCCTGACTGTGTTGGCTCCCTGTTAGTTCCCATGCCCAATTCAAGGTGCTGGTTTTGACCTACGTGGCCCTAAATGGTTTAAGAGCTAAATACTTGTCGGAACATCTCCTTCAAAAAACATCTACATGTATCACTCATTCTTCCAAGGCCTTGCTACTGAAGGTGGCCAGTCTGCAAGAAGGTCTCAGTGAGAAACCAGATCATCTCGATGGTGGCTCCATCTCTGTGGCACAAATACACCAGACTCTCATCCCACCAAGTATTCAAAAAGTTAAGGCATAACTCTGCAACTGCATTTAAGAGTATACTGCCATAAGCGAGGATTGAGTACCTATAACATCTTTCATTTTTTCTCTCTCTTCTAGTTGTTTATTTATTTTTATTTAATTACAGTATTTTTACTCTCCCTTCTCTTTAAAAAGACCACTAGATGGTTGTCAAAATTTTTCAATAAATAAACATTGCTGATTCCTAATAGAGCACAGCTGAGGAACCAAAAAAATGCGCCCCAAAACAAACAAACCCTCCCAAGACCCATCACAGCACAGAAACATAACCCCCCCAGCCAAAAACCACACTGCAAAAATACTCAGAACAGTTTTTAAAAAGTATAAAGGAGCACCTTACCTTAGCAGGCAGCCTCCTCGGATCACACACTCTCTAACTGCCGGGGCGAAAGAGCGACAGAAGCAGCCTGGTCGCCACCTACAGTTAGCTATTTGAATTTCCCACCCTTTCCCCTACCTTTTTGTGTTCGCAAGTCAAAGCAAAATTATGTGAATGGAGCTGCTCATAACTCAAAATGTTCATGGGTCATAAGTCAAGGCACCACTGTCTATATTAGTGGAATTTCCCAGTTATTTTCAAGGTAACAAAAAGAAAGGGTATTCATAGACAAGCAGATCAAAGCAAAAAGCTAACAGGGATTATTGAGGGAAGGGACAAATGTGTATACACAGAGAGAGAGAGATCAATGGCACTTTGAGAGGTGCCTCTCTCTCTCTCTCTCTCTCTTTCTCTTTCTCTCTCTCTCTCTCTGACAAAATTAATCGAAGTGATGTCTATGTGGCAGGATAAAAGAAAAGTAAGGAACTCAATGCAGCCTCCCCAGTAACCCGGGCGAATTATAGGGTTGCACCGTTATTTGTGGGTCTTTGTTTTTTATTTGCATCTTGCTATTTGCATTGCCTCACACAATGAACATTACATATATTTCTATATGAAAGTCATCAAAACACCTCCTCCCAGTTAGAGAAGGACCCATTAATCTTCATCATCTGAGTATGATTCTGTAGCCAATTGTGTATCCACCTGACATTTGAACTATTCAGCCCACACCTACTTAGTTTGCTAATCAGGAGATCATGGGGCACTGTCAAAAGCTGTGCTGAAGTCAAGATATACTACATCTGCAGCATTCCCTCTGCCTATCTGGGAGGTGACCTGATCAAAAAATGAGATCAGATTAGTTTGGCAGGATTTGTTCTTGGCAACTCCATGTTGGCTTCTAGTTATTTGTGGCGAACACCCTAAGATATGCATTGTAATTATGAATTATTCATGGTATATGTTAATGTGGTTAAGAGTTGGGGCCGAGAGAGATGTTAAAAGGTGGAGCCTGAGAGGAGTAGTTAAGTCGGTTAAGTGAGAGTCAGGGAGAGTCTGTGTTAGGAATCTGAGAGAAAAGGATAGTTTGGGGTCTGAGGAGTGATTAGTCTGAGTGGAAACTGTGACAATTACTATAGAAGGTTAATATTGAAGCTTGATGAAATTTGAAGATTGTGCCAATGAATTGTTCCAGAAACCGACTGTAATCAATAAACCTGTTCTATTAAAAAGTCAGTACTGAATGGACATTCATCTTTTCTAAGTAAACTATGTTGATAAGGAGATCAACTGGTGGCAGTGTGTCAAGAGGTGTTTTGATTTGCCTTTGTGAGCTCTGTGTTTGGGAAGACAAACAGGGGCCATGAGAGCAAAAGTCACATTATTACTGCCTTGTTTTCTAGGTGCTTGCACAATGACTGGTTTATGATCTGTTCCAGAATTTTGCCTGGGATTGCTGTCGTGGTTACTGGCCTGTGGTTCCCAGGTTCCTCTTTTTTGCCCGTTTTGAATATAGGGACATTATTAGTCCTGCTCCAATCCTCTGGCACCTCACCCATTTCCCATGATTTCATAAAAGTAATGGATAGCGTTTCTGAGAGTTTCTCAGCCAGTTCCTTTAGTATTCTCAGATTCAGTTCATCCGACCCTGGAGATTTGAACTCGTTCAAGATGGTAAGGTATTCTTTGACTATTAGTTTATCTATCTCCAGCTGCAATCGTGTCCCACCCACTTGCATTTCCAATTTGTTTGGAAGTTCATTGTCTTATGGGAAAAGACTGAACTAACATAGGAATTGAGCATCTCTGCCTTTTCTTTGTCTTCTGTTACCATTTTCTCCATCTCCATTGTGGAGCTGTGCCACTATGTCTTTTCTTTGTCTTTTGCTACTCACATACCCGAAGAATGCCTTTTTATTGCTTTTAATGACTCTAGCTAACCTCAGCTCATTCTCAGCTTTTGCCCTCCGAATGCCACCCCTGCATTTCCTTGCTACTTTTCCGTACTCATTCTTGGTGGCCTGGCCTTCTTTTCACTTCCTGTACCTGTCTTTTTTTGGGGGGGTTAGGTCCTTTGTGAGCTTTTTGTGAAGCCACACTGGCCTTTTTTGCCACCTTGCCCCTTTTTCTCTTGTTGGAATTGTTTGGAGTTTTGTCTTTAGAATTTCTGTCTTAAAAATCTCTCACCCTTCTTGGACTCCTTTTCTTGTAGGATCTCCTGCAATGGGACCTTACTTATCCTTGTTCTGAGATTATTAAAAGTGGCTTTTTAAAAATCCAGCAGACCTCTGTGGTTACACTCTGATTTCGTTTCCTTTGAAACTGAGAATTCTAGAAGGACATAGTTCCCCTTACTGCCATTTCCCCCACCAACTCATTTCTGTTGGTCAGAATCGAGTCAAGGATAGCAAACCCTCTAGTTTCTTTCACCACTTTTTGTAGGAGAAAATTATCAGCCACAAAAGCCAGGAATTTCTTGGAAGGGCTATACTTGGCAGAAATTGCCTCCCAACATATATCTGGATAATTGAAATCTCCGATCACTATTACTTCATGTCTCTTTGACCCTGCAATTCGTTTTTCAAAAATTTTGTCTGCTTCCTCTCTTTGATTGGGTGGTCAGTAGTAGACTCCAAATGCCAAGTTCCTTTTGTTTTTTCCCCCAGCTCGATTGATTCAGATGCTCTCGATGGGACAGCCAATTTTCTTCTGTATTTCTGTGCAGAAATGTGTATTTTTGACATATACCGCGACTCCACGTCCCTTTTAATATTCTTTGTTCTTTAGTACTAGTGTAGTAGTAATGGGAGATTTCAGTTATCCTGATATCTGTTAGGAAGCACTAAGGGGAACTCTAGGCAAGAGTGACCATGTTCTACTCTGTTTTCCTGAAAATAAGACCTGATTTGAAAATAAGCCCTACTATGATTTTTAGGATGCTTGTAATATAAACCCTACCCCCAAAAATAAGACCTAGTTAAATGAAACCCCAACCTCCACCATTGTGCAGCAACCCAAAAATGACATGACTGCATTTGAATAAATGTAGGTTGTTGTACATGACAAAAAAATCCCCTGAAAATAAGCCTAATGCATTTTTGGAGCAAAAATTAATATAAGACTTTATCTTGTTTTCGAGGAAACAAGGTACTAGAATTCTTGATTTCAAAGAAGATTTCACACTGGATTTTTAAAAAGCCCAGAACAAGGATAAGTAAGGTCCCATGGCAGGAGATCCTAACAAGTAAAGGAGTCCAAGAAGAGTGGGAGCATTTTAAAAAAAGGAAATTCTAAAGGCACAGCTGCAAACACTTCTAACAAGAAAAAAGGTGGGAAACAGCAAAAATAGGCCAGTGTGGTTTCACAGAAAGTTCAGACAGGACCTGGAAACAAAAAAGGACATGTCTAGGAAATGGAAAAGAGGCCAGGCCACAAAGGAAGAGTAAACAACTAGCAAGGAATTGCAGGGTTGGTATTCTGAGGGCAAAAGCTGAGAATGAGCTGAGGTTAGCTAGAAAAATCAAAAGCATCAAAAAAAAAGCATTTTTCACATATGTGTGTAGCAAAAGAGAAGAGAAGAGTGTCTCAGTGACTCAATTGAGATGGAAAAATGATAACAGAAGAAAAGGCAGAAGTGCTCCATTCCTATTTTAGCTCAGTCTCTTCCCAAAGGACAGACTGTGACCCTTCAGACAAATGTGTAGTGCAAGCAAAGGGGGATTGTAGCTGGAGATTGATAAACAAATAACTTACTACCTTGACCAAATTCAAATCTCCAGGTGCAGAGGAATAGCATCTAAGAATATTGAAGGAACTAGCCAAAGATCTCTCAGAACCATTGTCCATTTTCTTGACATCATGAGAAATGGGTAAGATGCTAAACCCTTCAACTTCTCTGTTCTACTACTTCAGAATCATTATCACTAGTGGTTTTTCTTTGTTGCTCTGCTCTCGCTCCTTTGTTGAAGGGGTTGTTTTCCTCTCTCAGTCTTGGGGATCTTGGGGTTGGGCTCACCTCTTGCTCCATGGACGAGGGACGACGCTCTCGCAGTGACTTTGTCTACCCTGCCATCTTTCTCACAATCGCAAGCCAAATATAAGCCAACAGTGCAAAAATGGCAAATGCTATTTTAGGCTGCGTTAACAGAATTATAGTCTCCAAATCCTGTGATGTACTAGTCCCCGTCTATTCAACACTGGTTAGGCCTCACCTTTAATTCTGTATCCAGTTCTGGACACTGCACTCCAAGAAGGATGCTGACAAATTGGAACAAGTTCAGAGGAGGGCAACATGGGTGATCAGGGGGCTGGAAACCAAGCCTTATGAGGAAAGGCTGAAAGAACTCGGCATGTTTAACCTTGAGAAAAGAAGGCTTGGGGGAGATATGATAGCACTTTTCAAATACTTGAAAGGCTGTCATTCAGAGTAGGGGCACAATCTGTTCTCAATCATTCCGCGCAGGACACGGAACAGTGGGCTCAAGTTACAGCAAGCCAGATTTCAGTTGAATATGAGGAAAAACTTCCTGTTAGAGCAGTGTGGCACAGGAACCAGTTACCCTCAGAGGTGGTGAGTGCTTCAACCCTGGAGGCATTCAGGAGAAATTAGACAACCACTTGGCAGATATTCTTTGATTTCTGTTCCTGCATTGAGGAGGGGTTTGGACTTGATGGCCTCATAGGCCTCTTCCAAAGTCATAATTCTACGTGAATTGAATTGATTCACCGGGATAAGCAGTGGGATTTAGGCCATGAACTTTGTTTGTTCCTCCCTAACTTATTTTGTAAAGCTACCATCTTGTTCTGCTCTTAATGGTAAACATTGTTTTAAAATGTTGCTTTTTCTGTGTATTAGGTGTTGACCAATGTATCCAGAAGTTTTTAGATGTTGCACGGCAGACAGAGTGCTTTTTTCTACAGAAAAGGTTACAGCTATCTGTCCAGAAACCAGAACAGGTAATTAAAGAAGTAAGTAATGTAACTTTCTTTATACTTTTAAGTTTGAGCCCCTGATCTGTAATAGACTGTGAAAGTGGTAGGAGTGCACTACATAGTACTTGGGTTTAAAAGACTCACTAGAATTTGAGTAGGTTAAATTTAGGTAGGAGTTTTATATGTGTGTTTAAGATTATAGCTGTAGTGTCATTGCCACTTTGAGCCTTAATTAGAAAGGAATATGTAGAATAAAAATACTTTTAATGAACAAATAGTGCCTGAATCCAGTATTGGACTGGAGAATCTGAGCCAATATTATTGGTAGTTCTAACTAGGGATGGAATTTTCAGAAGAAAAGAATTCCTACTCACATAATTCAGCAAGAATCCCCCAGGCCTACTTACGTCAATAAAAGCACTCAGATTGGCAAGTGGTATAGCTTCTTATTGTCCTGCCATTCCTGTAACGATTCTATTGACCAGAAAGAAACTCACTGCAATATATGAATTGTGAGGATTCCTTGTGACTTGCAAAGGTTTGTGTGAGGACTGCCTCCACTGAAACTTGGCCTCCCATGAACCTTCATGAGTCACAGGGAATCCTTGTGACTCAAACACTGCAGCAGGGTGCTTTTCTTGCCTCTAAGCAAGAACAGCAAGGAGGTAAGAGGGCTGCTCTGCCTCTTGATGGTTAGACAGCTTTTACTTGCATAGTTTGGCCTGGGGGGGTGAAGTTTCATGCAATTAAGGGAGTAGAATTTATTTATTTCCAAAATCGCTCCCTAGACCTGCTGCATTTTGGATCTGTTGAAATTCGCTGACCCTTTCCGTTGGCAGCCCCACATAGAGCACATTACAGTAACCCACCCAGGAAATAACTAGGGCATGTATCACAGTGGCCAGATCAAATGTAGCTAGCACACTAGTTTTAATTGTGCAGCTGCTCTCCTGGCTACCTCTGAGACCTGGGCATCCAGATTCAGGGATCAATCCAGGTGCACCCCCAAACTTTTCTTTTTTCAATGGGGGTGTAATCCCATCCAGTACTGGCTCCATTCTTATTCCTTGGATCTGCCTTTCAACTAACTAGGCACACCTGTCTTGTCTGGATTAAGTTTCAATTCATTCACCCTCATCCAATCTATAACTGATACCAAACAATCATCTAGAGCCAAAGTAGCTTCCTCAGATTTAGGTGGCAAGGAGAGGTAGAGTTGGGTGTCATCTGCATATTGGTGACACTGAACCCCAAAACTCTAGATAATCTCTCCCAGTGGTTTCATGTGGATAGGAGACAAAACAGAACCTTGAGGACTCCACAGGTCAGCAGCCATGATTTTGAACAGACGTCCCCCAGCACCACCTTTGAATTCTCTCCTCCAGGAAGGACTGGATCCACCATAAAACAGTGCCCCCAAATCCCACTCCAGAAAGATGGGTCAGGAGGATATTGTGGTCAATAGTATTGAAAGCCGCTGAGGTCTAGCAAAAACCAACAGGGACACAGATTCCCTATCCAGTTCCCTTTTTAGGGAACAGCTGTCTCTATCCCATAACCAGGCCTGAAGCCAGATTGAAATGGGTCTAGATCAGGGGTCTCAAACATGCGGCCCGGGGGCCATTTGCTGCCCACCAGATAATAGTTTGTGGCCCCCGCCTTGCTTGCCCCCCTGAAGCGCCCACACATCCTCTGCTGTCAAGAGTCAAAAAAGCCTCCCCTCGCTTGCTGGCTCTCTCCCAAGACAGCACCTCTTGCACCCTCCATCCGGAACTGCAGCCTGCACTTAATTTGTGATCTCAACACTATCATTCTTTTATCATCCTTAATCTCAAAGTCCCAGCATACTGTCTCAAATGAAATCAGGAAAGATTCAGGGCAATCTCCTTTCCTATATTGGGGAAATTTCTTTAGGTCAATTTTTGAGATATTTCCCTCACTAGTGTTGTTATTATTGTCATTTTTTGAGCAGCTAATTCTAATTATTTCATCTGTATTTGAAATTCCATTTCCCTTTCTCTTAATTCTATTTGTCTTTTTTCTTGCTCAAATGCCATTTGTCCGGCCTTTTCTCCATAATCTCTAATTCCTTGAGCTGTAGCTTTTTAGCTTTCTCTTCAGCCCTGGCTTTCCCCCTAATTTCCATTTTTTCCCCTCTGAGTCTATGCTCCCGTTCTAGTTTCCATTTCTCCAGATCTAGGGAGCTTAGAACACTCCCTCTCTCTGAGGCACCCTCATCAGTCTCCTCCTGTTCCACTGGAGCTACAGGGTCTCCATTTCTGTCCACTTCCTGAGATAAACTTTGTGCCTCTTAAGGATCAATTTCCTTCAATACTGGCTTTTTAGTTCTGTTGGGTGGCATATTTATGTACTTTCCTAATAGGAGCTGGTTTCTGTTGCTTAGTCAGGCCTTTTAAAAAACAAAACAAAACCAAAAAAACACACACAGAGAAACACTTTTACTGCTGTTTTATTTTCCCAGTATTTTTCTGGGGTACTATGTAGTTCTCAATCGGCAGTTAAAGATGGCTACACTTTATCTGGCCTCATGCTATCTCTGATGATTCTTGGTCTGAGACAACCTTCTTACCTCCAGACACAAAATAAATTCTATCTTCAAGCCCCTGCTTTTAATTTTCCTATCACCTCAGATCCGATCTGACCCTGGCTTCCACTTTTTATCCATGAATAGGTTCCCTTATATCTCAGTGCTCCCTTATATCTCAGAGCCTTGGATTTCAAGCTAACCCACTGGGTCTTTTCAAATCCTGAAGTAACAAAAAATTTTTCCCTATCTTTAGTTCCCCCAGATCTGCGTTCAGAAGCCCAGCCACTAAGCTTTTTCCCAAAAGCTCTAGCAGGCCACCCACTTTTTCACCACAGACCTCTGACTAAAAGATACCCACGACTCCAGAAAATTCACTTTTTAAATGTATTTTATTATTTTTTATGGCATACATATCTATAACAAACGACAGAAATACCTACAAAACAATAACACATGAAACTAATAAAACATACAAGACTAGTAAGACAAACATATAGGCGGGGAGGTATTTCCCATACCAGCTTATCTATTATATAGATTCTGACTACAGAAGTAATATATCTGTGTGCATCTGCACATATTATATTCCATATCACTATTTTATATATCTAATTAAGTATCTAAACATCCTAAATTTATAATAAATTTTTTTAAATTCCCTCATCTGCATTTCCATCCATCTGTCTCTCATCATATCCATCATGATATCCTCACAGGCCTATTCATTCCTCGATGGTCTCCATCCTTATATACAGAAAACTCTGTATCTCATCTTTTCAGCATAATCACTCCTATGGTTCACACATATTTGATATTTCCATATACATACCTTAGAGCAAAACATCCAATATTATTATTCATCATCATTTCTAAATCACATACACTTGTCTAACCTTAAACTCCATATCAGGCCAAATTTGCTTATAGTATAGTGTATTAGTCATGTTGCTTTATATATTAATTATATATTAGTTATATCTATCTTAAACCAATTGACTTCTATTATTTATTCAGCAAGTAACTTCCTCCTTTCTGGTTTCTATTTATCAGCTCCAGTGTCATCAAACCGGGATTGGCTTTCTAATCTTGTCAACATTGTCAGTATTATGGTCACACATATTTAATGTCTCAATATACATGCCTCACAAACAAAGTGTTTTCCAGTTTTGAAATGCCATCTATAATATTTTTTTAAACATTTTCTATGCGGTTGACTAATTTTGGTCCCAATGTAGTCAGTATTCTGGTTTTGGAGCAACATAGTATGTGATCTCTGGTCATAAATTCCTGCCCTCAGCTTTGCCCATCCCTCCCCCTCTGCATTCTTTCTTTTCGGAACAGTCTTGAAAAAATTCTCCCCCGCCCCCCCCTTTGTCTTTTTTTGTCATCCTTTGAAGAAAAGGAGTCTTTCTTCTCTCTCTCTTCAGATCGCACAGATTCCTCGCCTGTCTCTGACGACGGTGGCTGTTTCTCCGGAATTGAAGACTGTTCATTAAAGATCTGATTAAGCAGTTTCTCCTTGCTTTCGATCTTTTCATGCAAAGCATTTTCAAATGATTTATTATGTTACTTTGACATTCTTGAACACCGGGATTGGCCTCTTAATCTTATCAATATTGTCACTATTATGATCACACATATTTAATATCTCAATATACATGCCCCACAAGCAAAGTATTTTCCAGTTTTGAAATGCCATCTGTAATATTTCTTTAAAACATTTTCTATGCGATTAACTAATTTGATCCTAAAGTAGTCAATGTTTGGATTTTGGAGCAACATAGAATGCGGTCTCTGATCGTAAATTCCTGCCCTAAGCTTTACCCCTCCCCCTTTACGTTCTTTACATTCTTTCTTTTCAGCACAGTCTTGAGATACATTCTCCCTTCCCCGTCCCCCCTTTTGTCTTTTTTAGTCATCCTTTGAAGAAAAGGAGTCTTTTTCTTCTTTCTCTCTGGCTCTGCTTCTCCAGATCGTACAAATTCCTCACCTCTCTCTGACGACAGAGGCTGTTCCGAAGACTGCTTATTGAGGATCTGGTCAAATAATTTCTCCTTGCTCTCAATCTTTTCATGCAAAACACAAAAAGTCATTCTCAAGTCAATTTTGGTCTCCTCCAATTGCATTTCCAGATGATTAATTATGTAACTCTGACATTCTTGAAGCAGTCCCAATAAATAATCCATTGCAAGTTGCGATGTTGATTCTCCCCCACCTTCCATGACCGTAGCAGTCGGCAGCTTAATTACTCAAATTTCCCACATGATTTATTAGCTAGTCCACACTTAAAGTCTTACAAGGGGGGATTTCATGGATGTTATTTGATTTGCAGACCACCTTGTAACCAGAAACACTTAGGTTAAATTATGCAGAGTTATTTAGAGTTCTTAAGTCCTGACTTTATAAGTTTATGAGAAGCCAGTTTCTCTGGGAGGGATTAGAGAGAAAAAGAGCAAGTTGGTTTCGTTTCCGAGCTGTGGCGTAGTAAAGAAAACTCCGATTTACAGGCATCAACAAGGTTATGCCACTTGAGATCTCCTTATCAACTTTCAAATAGCAGATTTGGTCTTTTACTTGCTGTAGCTTAGCAGCAGATCGTTAATCTCTGTTCTGCAGTCAGATAATAAATTTCAAAACCTCCCCATTCCGAGCAGCTAACTCACCATCATGGCGACTTCACGAGACAGATTGCGTGTAGGAAGGGAACTCTTCCAAAAAACAGACTGCCATCTGAAATTCGGTGGTTCCAAGGCCCCCACTTGCTAACAAGTCCCACTCCCCGGTGGAACTTGCCCCCCCTTCTCCGGGGGGGTGTCTCTGACTCGGAGTAAAACCCAGGGGAATCCAGAGCCCTGGAATTTCCCCTGTTCTCGCTCTCGTTGCTCCTCCCTCCCCAGAAAATTCACTTTTAAACATTAGTTTCACTGGATTATTTGGTATCCTGCTGCGGGACACCAATTGTAGTGTTCGCCCTTGTGGCCCCTGCTTCTCCTGTCACAAAGGGTCACATGTTTTCCTCTCGCTGCCACAGTGGATTACCTCAATCCACAATATAAATGATGTTTGTCAGGACACTTGTAAACACAAACAGAACTTATTTGTTGAAATGAAGCAGATTGAATAATAACAGAAGTCCTTCAGATACACATTATACACAAGCAAACCATTAACAGTTCTCTCAGTACATACTTCTTTTCCCCTCCAATGTCATTACCACCTTCTCTACCTATTTTTTCTAACCAGCCTGATTACTCAGTATTTGTTCCCCCTCTCTCTGACTAACCAGCCCTTATCTCTGACTCCTCCTTCTCCCACCAAACCTCATATAGCTGCTGACTTTGTCTCTCCAGTTCTGTCATAGGCTCATGCAAATCAGCTCATGACTATGAATAGCAAGAGTGACATGGGGCAATTGTCACAAACACTTTATGTTAATGCATTTTGTAAAGAAGATTGAAGTAGGAGTAAATATGTGTTGGAAGAAAATTAATGCCTCTTTGGAGTTTGAAAATACTGAGCTGTCTGCTGTAAACATTCATCCACCTAGCTTGTTCCACTACTCTTTCCAGTAAAGTTTTTTCCCCGTTTGGATAAAACTTATGAAAGATTCACTTCAGGCGTGTCTGTATAGTGGTTAGTGCATTAGAGAGGCAAGCTGTATCTTATAAAATTGTATGAAGTATATTGTTTAGAGATAGGATATGTTTTTCCAAGGCAAATATTGATAACATTTATTAAAATGGCTGTTACTAGGAAGATAACGAGTTACAGAAGGTGTGCAACTGCAAAGACTTGTCAGTAAATGTACCCTCCACTCCTATTTTAACACTACACAAAGAGTAACTTTTTAGGAGCAGTATTTTTAGTTCTTAAAAATTCATAGCGTTTAAGATTAAGCAGAAAAACCTGTCTTACTCCTCTGCAGGATGTTTCTGAACTGAGAAATGAATTGCAGAGGAAAGAAGCACTGATCCAGAAGCACTTGGGTAAACTGCGACACTGGCAGCAGGTTTTGGAAGACATCAATATGCAGCACAAAAAACCTGTTGAAATGCCTCAAGGACCTTTAGCGTATTTAGAGCAGGCTTCAGCTAATATACCTGCACCACTTAAGCAAACATGAATAAAAATATACTTTGAATGGTGAAATGACTTTTGCTAGACCAAGGAGTGTGGTTTTAAAAAGCTTTGTACTGTCTGATGTAATTTTTATAGATATTTTTTAAATGATGTGAAGATGCATAAAATGAGAACACCATCTGCCTTTATTCGGGTTTATTGTATTTATATTAATCATTTCAGCCAACCAAAGCATGATAATGCAAACTGAAAACAAAATTTTCTGCTTTGTGATATTAAAAATGTTTTGTTGAAAAAGCAGGAAGGAACTTTTTCTCTGTTACATGGGTTTCTCTTTACTGTAGTACTGAATAAGCAAGATTTAAAAGAAAAAGTCACATGTGTTCCACAGATGTTGATTGATCTGTGGAACAAAATATTGGCTGAGATTCAAAGGGCTACTTCAGAATGCACATCAGAGCCTGAGTACCTTAGTCAAATTCTTGGCCTTTTGAGTATTAGACCTGTTTCCTGGTAAGTTACTTTTTTTAAAAAAGTGAGTTCGTCAGGAACATAAAGGGATGGGGACTGTGGTGAAAAGCAAGCAAGCATTTGAATGTGGCTAAAGTAGACCTTTGGATTTCTGCAAATATTTTGTTCGAAACCATGTTTTAGCACTTTTCTTCTGCTTCTACTACCCTTGATGGTCTAAGACACTGAATAAAGAGCTCTATAGAGTACACCCTCCAATAGTCTCTCTCCCTCAGATCCCAATGCCAGACTTTTCCACTTTCTTCATATTTATTTTTTCCTCTGTCAAGCCTTTTTTTGTCTTGCTCTGGGTAACATGTTGCTCATAATTGTTTCAGCTTAGCTGTTCAAAATTCTTGTTATATAATGATAGAACAGAAAATATCCATGAGAAATATGTAGCTAACTTGGATTGCTTTTATTTTCTGTCATTTTCTGCGTATTGCAAACTACTTTCTGAATACTTTAAAACAACAAATATTTAATAATGCATCAATAAATCAATGTCTGTTTATGTGCTATCAAGTCACTTCCAACTTATGGTAATCTTAATAGTATTTTTCAGGTGTGTGAGATGGACAAAGAATGGTTTATTACTGCCAGCCCCCCCCCCAAGTTTCTGTAGACAAAATGGGGATTTGAACCCACATCTCCCAAATCGTAGTCTGACACTTTTATCTGCACAGCATGGGCTGTCAATGTCTTATCTAACTTTTTTAAATGTTATCAACAAGTGGGCTGTTAGTAGAGCTAATTTTTATTATCATGTGATAGCAAATTGGTTTTAAATACACAGAAACCTTTGGCATGTTTTATTCCCTTGACACACAGACTTTTTCTTTCTTCAAGTACATTGTTTCGTTGCAAATATTAACAAAAATCTGGCATTCAAAGAATTTCCTAACCTTGCAATGTGTAGTGTGAATAAGTGAAAGGATACATTGAAGGAGAGATACCTATCATTTCAATAATTAAAGGGAGAAGGGCAGTTTATGGTGGTATGAAGAGCCATGAGGAGGATGTTACTTGGGATTTCTTCCATATGTCAGCATATAATATTAAAATATTACATGTGACACTGAAGATTTATTTTACATGGATTCAGTATTTACACTTCTATAAGATGGTGTAGTAGTGATGTTTGAACAATTGCCCAGAACCTAATCTTAGTTCTAGCCAAATTAGCTGCTACTGTAATGGGAAGATTCTGTTCTAAAGGGGATGAGGCTTATCTTTCCTTAAGGCAGGACAATGTTCAGCTTTTCTCCATCAGTGTAACACAGATGGGATACTTTGCATCTGTAGAATTTACTATCCTCATCATTCATAAAGGCACATGGAGTTTTCCAAGCAACAGACCTGACCCTGATGTGTACTCATGACAAGGTTAATATTAATTAATTCATTTAAAAATAAATAAAAATATAAATGTAACCTTCATGCATTATTAGAGCAAAATAAATACCGTCTAAGCAACTAATTTCCACATCACCTGCTTACAAATATTCCAACTCCAAGTGCTCTAAAACAGTGGTTCTTAACCTTTGTTACTCAGATGCTTTTGAACTGCAACTCCCAGAAACCCCAGCCAGCACAGTTGGTGGTGAAGGCTTCTGGGAGTTGCAGTCCAAAACTCCTGAGTAACCCAAGGTTAAGAACCAGTGCTCTAAAGAACAATTTACATAGATTGATGAAAAGCATTATGATCATAATGACAAGTGTATAGAAAGTAGCTCAAGTAAGGAAAGCAAAAATGTTTACCAGAGGCAGATTACCTGAAATACCTTTCCTATGTAACCCCTGGCAAAAGTTCTCAGAGTTTTCAGTGCATTCTGTTTAAAGTCTAATGTTGGCCTTTATAACTGATGTTGGAACTCTGATCCATTAAGGACCATAAACTCCTGCATGACTCTGCCTCTATGTTATGGTATAACTTGAAAGTTCTTTCCTAGGATCGGGTAGTATCAGATCAAGTGGGTAACCTTTTCAGAGGTGTTAATTCAGCTTTGATTTTTTTCCTCAGAGACACTTGTCTGATATGAAGTCTGTCATCTTTTCAACACTTGGCAAAGTACTTTCTATTGTCTCATGCATTTTGGCTTCCTGTCTTCTTTTGGTGCTTTTTTCAGGTGTGTTGTATATGTTATATGTTGCACTGCCCAAGCAAGTTCTGTTTTAATTTACTGTTTATATGATTACATTGCTCTGGAAATCTTATGGGACTGAAGTTAACAGAAATAAATGCTTATGAATGTTCTTTAAGACTGGTAATCTGTAGTGCCAAACACTTGATGAATACAGTGGTGCCTCACAAAACGAATGCCTCGCGGGACAAAAAACCTACAAGACGAATGGTTTTTGTGATCGCTGTGGTGCCTCGCAAAATGGCTTCTTCTATGGCTGTGCTTCGCAAGACGAATGGTTTTCGAAAGACCGATGCCTCGCAAGATGAATGAATTATTTTCGCCTTGCGAGGTGCATTCCTATGGGAAACCACTTTTCGCAAGACAAAAATTTCGCAAGACAGCGCTACTCGTGGAATGAATTACTTTCGTCTTATGAGGCACCACTGTATTAGAGTTTATTTGTAATACATCAGATATATTTAAATACGTTATCACTGATTTCCCACTCTTCCTTTTAAAGCTCAAATAATAAACACTTCACGTTTGATTATGTTCTACAAACCCTAATCTCTGCTACAGAACAGTGATGTTTCTCATGATATGGAAATAACTGAAGAGACATGTTTCTGAGTCCAGAAACATGTTGACTTTGAATGTGCTAATTATCTGAATCTGTCAACAGATGGACTGGCCGAATTAATTGAGGCTTACAACTGGGATAAAAAGAACTAAATATTAAGTGACCATTTCACATTTCTCTACATGCAAAACATTTTGTGTCAATTCATGCTAAGATCTCATGTCAGACTATGGCTTGCTGTAACCATGGTAGATCATGCAAACCATGGTTTGAGGTCCTAGAAGTAAACTATAGTAACATCTTTGGGAGTTTCTTGTCTGCTTTCATTTTCATACCCACTCAGCAATTAGGTTCCTTAATTTATGCCTGTTTCTGTGCTGTTTTATTGTTGAAGTTAACATGAAATCAGGTCCAAAGACCTTACTAGATTTTCTTCATGCAAAGATCAAACATACCTAGAATGATTTCTGGGTAACTTTTTGTTTGAAGTATATTTTTTTGAATAACTGAAATGTTTTAAAATACTGGAGCAATAGCAGTCTACTCCAGTATTTTAAACCACTTAAACTACTAATAATATTCAGGAAATACCAGATTTGTGTTTTATTTCTCCCAGGAAAAATGGCACAGCAAGGGGAAGATCAGCATGGCCTCAACCTTTGCCAGAGAAGATGCAACTGCACGTTGCTGGTTCTATTCCCCTTGCTAGAAGGAGCATTTCTCTAATTGCTAGTTGCCTTAGGACTGCAGAAGAGGAAACATTTTTGCTGTTACTGGGGTCTGATGTAGCGTTGGTGTATCCTGCCTTAATTGACAGCTGTGATATAGCAGTTAAAGAGTAAATGCATAAATAATGATTGCATAGTTCATCAGTCCAAAAACATCCTTCCAGAACATAAGATTATTTAAATATGGTTTGGCTTCATGCATACACTAAACTTTATTTTTTAGATTTGTATCTTGCCTTTCCTTCAGTAAGCACAAGGTGGTATACATGGCTTGCTTGTCTCTATCTTCACAACAACCCAGTATGGTAAGCAAGGTAGAAGAATATAATTGTCTTACTTTTTTTTTTCCTAGCCAAATGAAGATTTAAAGGTTTCCAAAGTCTTAGCCATCTGCTAATAACAACATTACACTGGCTTCAACTTTATATGCTGCAATATTCCAGAAAGCAAATATCACAAGACTAAGAAGGAGCACCTGGATGTTCAGTTTCTCTTCAAAAGTGATACAATAAATTCTGAAGACAAGTTTTAAATAAGCACAGGTTTAATGTGATCTTGTTTCTGCAAGTTCCTTCCTTCCTTGAATTTAAAGAACTGAATTCTTTTTAAAGTGTCTGAATGATTCAACATTCTTAAAGTATGTATGTGTATACAGCAATACTAGATGGCTTGTTCTTGCTGGGTGAGCAGTCCCTCAATGCATTAGATGTACAATATAGGAGTAATTCTTGATGCAACCCTGTTACTGACCTCATAGGGAGCTGTTCCTGCACTGGAATAACCTGGCAACCGTAGTCTATGCTCTGATGATTTTCTTGCCAACAAAGGTCCGCATAGTCAAACCTATCGTTTTTCCAGTAGCGATGTATGGAAGTGAGAGCTGGACCATAAAGAAGGTTGACCACTGAAGAATTGATGCTTTTGGATTGTGGTGCTGGAGGAGACTCTTGAGAGTCCCCTGGACTTCAGGGAGATCAAACGTATCCATTCCGAAGGAAATCAACCCTGAGTGCTCACTGGAAGGACAGATCCTGAAGCTGAGGCTTCAATACTATGGCCTTGTCATGGGAAGAGAAATCTCCCTGGAAAAGACTCTGATGTTGGGAAAGAGTGAAGGCAAGAGGAGAAGGGGACAACAGAGGATGAGATTGTTGGACAGTGTCATCGAAGCTACTGTCAACACCAGGGTCTTCTAAAAGATCACCTGATGGTCGAACAAAGAGGTTCTAGGCATAAGTGTACTCCTAAAACAGTGAGCAGAGTCCGGGTAACCCAGCCAGGCAGTACCACTTACCCTTTTCCCAAATCTGTTCTAATGAGCAGTTAAAAGAAAAAACAAAGATAGAAGTCATGAGTTTTGGAGTCTGCCAAGACAAACGAAACTCAGATCAAAAAGGACTCAAGTAACACCTTATTGGAAGCCGCCCAGAGTGGTCGACCAGACCAGATGGGCAGGATATAAATCAAATAAATAAATTAATTAATAAATAAAAATTCTCTGTGGCCTGTCACTATAATACTTGCAGATTTGCTGTTCAAGAGACCAAATTTAGGATTTTAAGAATTATTGTTTCATTAGAAAAATAAAGAATTTAGAGATATTCAGTTTGTTGCAAAAGCATAGCATCAAATACATTTCCATAAATCATAGCAGTTAGAATCTTAGCAAATTCTAGCTACAAAAATAAAATAATTTGCATTCAACAAAAAAAGAAAAAGAACTTGTGGACTTACTGCTTTGTTAAAGGAATGTACACAATGTGGTATTAGAATGTTCCTGAAGAACATGGTATATGAGAAGAGGGCTTCCTATCAACATGCCAGATTAAAAAAAAATAACATTTCAACTCGGGATTCTTTCCTTTTGTGGCGGAATGCCCACTTCACTCCTGTCTATCAAAGCTCAAGCTCAAGTGCAGGAGCCTATGACAAGACAGGAGGGGCAGAGTCAATGAGACAGAGAAAAAGAGGAGTTGATGAAGAGTTAGAGAGGAGAATAGATGAACTGGAGAGTGGAGAGAGAATGAGAACGAGAGTTGTGAAAGAGATGAATAGTCAAGATATAGCCAGAGATTATCAATGAGCTGGGTAATGTGTGTATAATACAACACTTCAATAAACTAATGTGTAATCAAATACAAGAAGTTTTAATGAGTGATCCTACACAATGATAAAAGAACATCTGTGATTTAACAAGTTATATTGGCAGCACGTGTCTGAGACATATATGGTGCAGTGTGGGTGAGAGAGACTCACCGTGGCAGCGGAAGAAAGACGAAACTTATCCAGAGAGTAAACCTTGGTTTGGGGGAAACAAACCGGGAACACTGGGCGGAACGTCACACATTTCAACTCAGGAAGCCAAAATCCTTTGTTTTGCTCTTAGCTTTATAGGTAGTTTGCTTCTGTTACTTTCTTCCAAGCATAGTAACCAATTAGAGGTTTTTTCCCCCTTCAGATAAGTTTGCTAAAGCTTTAAAAGACTCAATACCAGAAACATCTCCTCCTATACCCCCCCGCCTCCCCCGCAACGACTATGGCATTGATTTCTGTCTGGTAAGCCTTCTCTGAGGGGTGTGTAAGGTAAGGAGTTCTCTCTCCCCTTCTTTCTCCCCAACAATGGTATGCTTGAGGTATCGCCTGATCTTGGGCCTCTCAGCCATGAACTGTTTTGAACCGTCATAGGCTGTGTGGCGCTGTGACCCGCCTCTGGCGTTACCTGCTCGTAAGACACGGTTCAGAAATCCTGCTAATAAATATGAATAAACGCCGGCTAGGAAAAAGAAGAGAGACAGCAAACTGTTAACCTAAAGGCGGTCCTGTACTTGGGACACACATGGCCCTTAAAGGCGGTCCTGTACTTGGGACACACATGGCCCCGAAACAGCACGTTCCCGCTCGGCAGCAAAAAACAAGCCGAAACTAATTGAAAACCCTTTTGGGCGACGCCGCCCAATCACCGAAAGGAAAAGCCCCCGCCGCTCGCTCCCACTTCCTCACTTTCCTCTTTCCCTCCTCCCGGCTGACTAAGCATTAGCCACGCCCGTCTTCAGAACGTTCCCCACTTCTTCTTGGGGTAGGTCAGCCGTCTTCTATAATCTCGCGAGAATTCTGACGAGAACGCAGAGTGCTTCCGTCGCAGCCTGAGCATTTGAACAGAGCGGCGGGAAGAGAAAGGTCGTTCTCCGTCGTACAAACGGCTCGGGCATCTCGAGGTCCTCTGGCTTGCGCTGCCGTTAGGCGAAGCGGGGAGTCTTGCGTGTGGAGGGTAGAAGCTGGGGAACGTGGCTTTCGGACTGGCTGGAACGGCCCCAGCCGTTTAATAGCGAAGACCAGGTTTGCTCGAAACAGCTTGATCTAGCTTGATCCGAGGTATGGGAGCTGGTTGTCACGGAGGAGAGCCTTTTCCAGTTGGAGCCGTGCCTCCTTACATGTAGGGACCAAGCACTGCGCTTTTAGGAATGGATGCGCCCGTGTGGTGGATAGTCGCTGTCTTAACTCCTCCTCCCTCCAAAAAGGCCTCTTTCATGTCTTTCTTACAATACCTCAGCCCACCTTTCCCATTTCTCTCTGAGTGGTTTACAGAATAAATCACAATCCAGAGCCCCTTAGGTCCACCCCCATATCTCAACACAGTCAATATGGTGATAGACCAACTTGAACAGAGTTAGTAAAAAAGAAAAATCCTAAATAAAAAAATAGTATTAACACCATTTATGGCTACATTCTTAAAGGGTGCTTTGTATAGTTCTGTTTTAACTAATTTCTGAAATATCAGGAGCCTAGTGTAGTTGTATAGAGGAGGAAATTTCACAAGTACAGCTTACATTAAAACTGCACCTGCTAAAATGTTCTCTCCTTATCCACTACTTAGGCTGTATAATCCCTCTCATATTTTTCATCTAGCTACCCCTAAGGTTTTCGTTAAATTAAATCAATTCATTTCAGATGTTATGATAGCAATTTTGATTATAAGGAAAGGTGAGTCCTGGAATTACTTTTAAAATAATAGCATGAATCAATATATTTGTCTTGACTATTTGAAACAGATGACTGGTTTAGGTATTTGACTGTGAGCTAGAGGTTGAGAGTTCAGATTCCCACTGTGTGTTCTGTGAGTAGAGCCAGCCTGTGTACCCTTGGGCAAGCTGCACAGTCCCAGGGAGCCCCAGAAGAAGGGAATGGTAAACTCTGAAAAGGGTTGAACACAAATCAGAACTGACTTGACAGGACAGATGCTTGCAAGTAATTCCATGGCTAATGACAGCTTTCAATTGCAATCTTTTAAAGTTACACATCTTTTTGCAGCTATGAAGGGAAAGAAGACTCTTCATATAAAGGAAGCCTTTGAGCAAGCTCAGAAACTTCACCAAAATCATGCAAAACTAGTGGTGTCTTTAAAGCACACATACAATGAGGTAAATACAAATTATTTGTTTGATTGGATCTAGAACGCTTTTTTGACAAGAAGAGTACCCTAGAAAATACTATAGTTCCATTAAAGAAGTGTGCACTTCAAATGTTAAAAACATGCAGGAAGTATATACTTTGACAATACTGAAGAGAGCAGGTTGAATAAGGAACTAACTTGCAAAAAAGAAAATGAGAAACAAAATTTCCACACTTGTAGAAGGTTGCAGAGAGGTAGCTATAATAGTCTGTTCCAGCAAGAAGAGTATTGTGACACTTTATAACAGATTTATTTATCTGATCTTTCATAGATTGTTACCCAATTTATCTGGAACACAGTGTACATATGGTTTTGGAATACATTGAAATGGGATACAGAATATGACCATTATATCTGCTTGCTTTAATGCTGGTAATGAACTTTCCAAGTGACAATGGTATTTTGAAGATGGTTAATGAACATTCAAATTTCAAATTACAGTGGAACCTCTACTTAAGAACTTAATCCGTTTTGGAATGGTGTTCTTAAGTTGAAACGTTCTTAAGTTGAAGCAAAATTTCCCATAGGAATGGACTGAAAACCAATTAATCCGTTCTGGCTGTTTTTTTGTTATGTAGAGGTGCGTTCTTACATTGAAGCATTAGTTCCCATAGGAACTAATGCAAAGCTGGTTAATACGTACTCTACCACTAGGGGGAGAATTTTTTTTAACCTAAGATGACCTAAGGTTAAAAAAAGAGCAGGAAAGTTTTTTTTCCTGTTCTTGTCTTGGATTTCTGTTCTCAAGTAGAAGCAAAATTTAGCAAATGGAGCTGTTCTTAAGTTGGATTGTTCTTAAATAGGGACGTTCTTAAGTAGAGACTCCACTGTACATAAGTGCTCTGTAAATAAGTGATTAGCTTGTCCGTCAGCTGGTAGACAGTGGTTAGGTGGTTGTTTTTGAAATGTAGCAACAAATGACTTCTGTTTTCAAGAACAGATGGTTGTCCTGAGGGTGCTTTTGTGTAGTGGAAACATTGTTACATGTAGGGATTGTTTGAGTCTCATCTTAATGTGCCCCTTGCATGCTAGCAGATTGTTCTATTAGCTGTGAAAATCAAATTATATTGCTGTTTAATTCTTGCTTCTTAGTTACAAGACAAGATTGGCTTTCATGAGGAGTTTGTTCATTACCTTAAGTATGCCCTGATAATCTACAAACGAGAACCTGCAGTAGAACAAGTGATAAATTTTGTGGCCAAGTTTCTTGCTTCTTTTTATGAGCCAGAAGATGATGATGTTGAAGAGGAAGAAGTGGAGAATTCACTTCTGAATTATTTGTTCAACTTTCTGCTTGAGGTACTATAATAATAATGTATGTTGAGAAACTGGTATTGAGTAGATAAATGTTGCCCTAAAAACACTATTGTCTAATCAGCATCAAACCTGCACATAACTGAAGCATACTTTATGCTGTATTCTCAGTGATTTTGTAAATTCGACATTAAGCTATAGCAGGAAAAGAAATCACCATGGGTGCCCTATATCTGTGCAAAAGCCACCAGTGTTAATTTATAACCTGCTAGTAGCAGGGACTTCTGATGGAGTCATTGAGGATCTGATTTCCTTAGTCTACTTCTGTGGAATCTGAGTGAATTGTGGCTGTATATGTAGCTCTTTTTATTTTATAGTTGCAGGAAGAACAGAAGTGTCACTGTGAGGTACTGTCCTATCACAAAAGTCTCTATACATAGCAGAATCCAGTGTGGTGTAGTGGATAGAGTACAGTGGACCCTTGACTTACGGAATTAATCCGTATTGGAACTGTGGCCGCAGGTCGAAAAGTCTGTAGGTCAAGGGTCCATTTCCCATAGGAATGCATTGAAAACCATTTAATCCGTGCCAGGCAAAGAAAAAAAATCCCGGGCTTCCAAAGCTGCACCCGCTGCCCTCTGTCTCCCGTCCCTGGTGCCCTCTGCCTTCTGTTCCTGTGTGGACAGAAGGCAGAGGGAGACAGAGGGCAGCGGGAGCAGCTTTGGAAGCCCGGGAAGCCGAAAGCCGCTCCGTACCCGCTGTGGCTGAGCGGCTTTCGGTGGGGACAGGAGGCAGATGGCAGCTTTGAATTTCCCACCCTTTCCCCCTGCCTTTCGTAGGTCGAAGCTCCGGCCGCAAGTCGAACTAAACTTGCGGCTGAAGCTTTTCGTACCGTGAAATTTTCATAAGTAGGGACCTTCGTAAGTTGAGGGTCCACTGTAATGGAAACTCACCAGGCAATGGACGTGGTAAAACAATTCCTTATATACTTAACATACTTTGAAAACCCTATTGGGATTGCTGTAAGTGAGTTCTGAATTGACAGCACATAATAACAATGACAATACCATGCTAAAGAAGAAGAAGAATTTAAGATTGAAACTCACCATGCCAGTATTGTAACGTAGCTTTAGAAAAATTGGGAAATTGTATTTTGTATTATTGTGTATAGGGACTTAATGGGATTTTTGTATGTACCTTTCTTTAAATTTGTATGCCAAATGAAACTTTGTGTGCCTAGAACAGTAATGCAAATATGTTAAAAAATTAATGTCTTCTTTTTAAGTCTCACCATGCTAACAGTAACGCAGTTAGATTTCGAGTGTGCCAACTTATTAATAAAATTTTGGGAAGCCTGCCAGAGAATGCTCAGATTGAAGATGAGCTATTTCATCAAATTAACAATGCCATGCTGCTCAGAGTGAAGGACAAAGTTCCAAATGTGAGAATACAAGCTGTTCTGGCATTGTCTAGACTTCAAGATCCAAAAGAAAATGATTGCCCTGTGACTAATGGTATGTTGCTGCTTTGTATCTTTTTTAAATTGTTTTTTACTGTGTTCTGCTTTCTGTGTTCTGGCACCACTAGAAGGAGGGAGGAGCCTGAACAACTCAATGGCATTTTAAAATGTGTGTCTTCTTTCTGTATGAATCCAGAATGGTATCAACTTCATGCTTGGTTATTAAAAAATAATCTCCTGAATAAAGCTTACTTGGAACAGTCTGTATTATGTTAGGGTCTCAGAGAGTCCAGTAATAGGATTTATGATATCACCTGGAGAGCTTTCTGTTGGGGGGTGCAATAGAAGGGGCAGGCAAGCATGGAAGGCCTCTGTTTCTGATATCTTGGAGTTCTTGCAGAAGGGCATGGAAAGAAAGAGGCAGCTGGTTTGGCAGCATTTTTTCCATCTAACAAAAGCAGTTTGTTCTATATGCAGAATATTGCATGTTTCTTTAGGGGTGTGTCTTTGTAATTTCCCCGTTACGTCCTCCCTTCTGGAATCTACACGTGGCTCTTAAAGCACTCACTAAGGCCACATTTGAGCAACCAAAGCCATCTGTATTCCAAAACCAGGCCTGAAGCCAGATTAAAATGGACATAGATTATCTCCATCATCATATTGATTATTGTAGTTTGAGATGCATTTTTTTAATAAATGACCTAATTTTATCTAGGGATGTTTGATCTTTTAAAACAACAGGGTTTTATATGACATGTGATAACACATGATCTGCACAGCCACATAATCTAAGGTTATAATTTGGCCAATTTCTCTGATACCAATATCATTGAGTAACTGGAGTGAAGGCGTGAATGAAAGTTATATCCCATTCAATAAAATTTTTTTGTTGCCACATATGTAACACACAACTCTTTGATGATGGGATTAAGAACTTCTGGTAAACTTAGATTGGTGGCTGCTGTAATCATTTAGAATTTCATATTTTCATTGAGATCTCCACCGGTTGCGAGTTCCCTGTCTTTGTATCTTTCCAAAGTGCAGTGGGTGTCACAGCCCACCACAAAAATACAACAAATGTTACAGTCAGCAGAGGACAGAAGGGACCTCCTCGCCACTGCAGGAGTATACCGGATACCTTGCAGTTGTGGCCAGGTATATATTGGAACCACAAAATGAAGCATCCACACCAGAATCAAAGAACATGAGAGACACTGCAGACTAAAACAACCAGAAAAATCTGCAGAAGCTGAACATGCCCTAAAACAAACTGGACATGAAATTTTATTTCAAAATACTGAAATACTGGACAACACCAGCAATCATTACATCAGACTGCACAGGGAAGCCATTGAAATCTATAAGAATCAGCAAAACTTCAACAAAAAAGAGGAAAGTTTGAAACTCAACAAAACTTGGCTCCCAGCTCTCAAAAATACAGCGTGCAAAAGTCAACAAACTCTACCCAGCCACAAGGACGGGATCACTACACACAAAGACCAGTTAATGACACCCATCAACTACAGTGACAGATAATCTCTCCTTATCACAACAATGCACCCACAACAAGACACACTAATCACCCATCTACAGAAAAAGAAAAAAGCCCATCTCACAGCCATAAATACTCCACTCCCAAGCCAACTACACCAGAGCACAGAGTGCTGTCCTCTGAAGATGCCGGCCACAGAGACTGGTGAAACGTTAGGAAGAACAACCCTCAGAACACGGCCAAAGAGCCCAAAAAACCCACAACAACCAATGTTGATTGTTATTAAGTAAGTAAACTGATGATGGGAATGAACTGCAATTTTCAGTATCCCATTAGGAAATATAAATGTGCCAATAGAGCTTCTTTGTGTTCCAAGCTCTTGGAACAGAACTTGGGATGCAACAGCTATCAGGACTCTTCCAAATTTTGTAGATACAAGAGCTTTCTCTTTCAATGCATTTGATTAGATATGTTAATATTTATTGATTATGTATTTATTTAAAATATGTTTACCCTGCCTTTCTCCTTAAAAGGACACAAGGCAGCTTACAACATTAAAAGGACAATATTTAAAAACTTAAAAAAGTAAATATACAAATATTGAAATAATTAAATATAATATTAAAATAGTAAATAAAATCATGAAGGAAGACCACGTATTGACACCAGCAAGACATGCCATCAAAGAAAAGTGGAGGAATTTGCCCAAGTGTTTGAGGAAACCCTGGCTGATGCAAATGCACCTGAAAAATGGGAACATTTCAAGAATGCTGTTTATAACACTGCCTTGTCCACATTTGGAAAGAAGACCAAAAAGCTGGCAGACTGGTTCGAAGCCCATTTGGAGAAGTTGATACCAGCCATCGAGGAAAAGAGGAGAGCTCTAGCAGCATACAAAGCCTGTCCTAGTGATCAGAACTTGCAGGCTCTTCGAGTTGCTTGTAGCAAAATCCAACAGGCTGCCAGGAGATGTTCTCATGATTATTGGCTTCAGCTCTGCTCTCAGATACAGATAGCAGCAGACACAGATAACATCAAGGGAATGTATGATGGTATCAAGCAAGCTTTAGTTCTCCTTTGTGTTCTCTGTGAATACACACTAATGGCTTAATCTGCGCTCGAGCACAGCAGCTTCAGAAACTTTAAAAAAAAAAAGCAGCAAAGCGTGCTGCTTATATACCGCCCCATAGCGCTTCAAGCACTCTCTGGGCGGTTTACAATTTAATTATGCAGGCTACACATTGCCCCCCCAGCGAGCTGGGTACTCATTTTACCGACCTCGGAAGGATAGAAGGCTGAGTCAACCTTGAGCCGGCTACCTGGGATTTGAACCCCAGGTCGTGAGCACAGTTTTAGCTGCAGTACAGCAATTTAAGCATTTAGTGCGGGGACCTCTCCTACACCAGCTATATAACTCCGCCCCCCACACACACCCAGTCTTCAGTTCTTTTTTCTTCTGCCACTGTAGCAGCAGCTTCATTTGGAACTTCGCAAGTAAAAAACAAAACAATTCTATTCCTTTCCTTTCTTTGGCCTCCCCTTGTTATTTCTTTATTAACAAGTTGTTTCTTCTGCCTGGGGGAAGAGCACTAGCTGGGGTTAGGTATTCTTTGTAAAAGCTTTACAAAGCCAGCTTTGGAGCCCTCAGGGCTTTTCTCTTAAAGAAATAAGGTCTCTTTTCCCTTAGCAAGGTTACCCCCAGGCTCAAGAGCAACAGCTATCCACTTGTTTGCAATCTTCCTCTTTGTTTCAAAAAAGAAGAGGACAGCATCTGAGCTAACTCTGCAGAAAGCTGGGTGCCAGCAGCCCTAGCTTGCCCTTGGAAGAAGAAAGGGAGCCCTGCAGCTCTTGCCACCATCCCTGCTTGTCAGTGATTCTCCTGACTGGGGTAAAAGCCTCTGTGGAGGTTGGCGTGGAACAGCCCTCTTGCATCAAGGGGCTCGTTCATACAGCTATTTAACCTATTCCTTTAATGGGTAGGCATTCTGTCACTTAGCATCATGATGACATTTGCCTACTAGGCCAACGTCTCTGGACACATTCCTTCAGTTTCTCCTTCACCTGTTTTGCCTGGGACTGGCCCGTTCTACCTGCAAGCTAGTTCTCTGAGGCCTGAAGAATATGTGCCCTGCCTATAGACCATTAACACCTCAGTGGTCTCTCCAATTAATTCTTCGGTGGCTTATGAGGCCTCCCTTCAAGCCCTTGGCATCAGCATCACTCCACTTGCCAACTGTCAAGACTGCCTTTCTCCTGGCGATATCCTTAAGCTTGCAGGGCTGGAGGACTGGCTACACTAAGAGCAGGTCCTCCTTTCTGCAAGGTAACCATATGGCCAGACCTTACCTTCCTGCCTAAGGTATTTTCTGCCTTCCATTTGAATCAGCCAGCTGTCCTTCCTGTCTTCTTTCCCACATCATCTTCACTGCTTGAGACGCCTCTGCACACTCTAGATGTGAAGTGTGCTCTGTCATATGTGCATCACATGACCACTTTACGTGCCTCACAACGTCGTTTTGTCACCTTTGCTGGCTCCTTGTTTGGAGCACTGGCTTCCTCTCAGACCATCTCTATATGGATAGTCCAGACCATCTGTCTTTCCTATGATCTGGCAGAGATTTCTCTTCCAAAATCAGTGAGAGCTCACTCTACTAGAGTTGTAGGATCCTCAATGGCCTTTCTCCGTGGAGTGGACATCACAGATCTCTGCCGTGCTGCCACATGTGCCACTCCATCTGTCTTCATCTCGCACTACCTCCTGGATGTCTGGCCGAAGGCTCAGGCTGTGGTAGGTCGAGCTGTCCTGGCTTCTGCACTTTTGTGACGTCCCTCCTCCTGGTTAGTCAACTTGCCAGTCACCCATTAGTGTGTATTCACGAAGGAGAAAAGAGGTTTCTTACCTGCAAATCTGGTTCTTCGAGTGGTCCTCTGAATTCACATGACTAAGCCTTCTCCCTGTTGTCCGTCACATGTTCCATGGCTTAGAACTGAGGCACTGGGCGGAGTTATATAGCTGGTGTAGGGGAGGTCCTAGCACTAAGTGCTTAAAGCTGTGAAAGTTTCCGAAGATGCTCTGCTTGAGCTCAGGTTAACCCATTAGTGTGAATTCACAGAGGACCAGTTGAATAACCAGAGTTACAGGTAAGTAACTTCTCTGTCCAATACAGAAGAAATCTGCTCCTTTGAAGTCTGCTGCAGGCATGATCATCCAGGACCAAGCACAACAGATCAAATGCGGGGTGCAGCATTACTATGAGCTATATTCCAGAGAGAATGTAGTAACTGAAGAGGCATTAAATAACATTGAGTTCCTGCCTGTCTTGGAAGAGTTGGACAGCGAACCAAGTTTAGCAAAATAAAAGTGGCCTTGGATTCCCTCGCCTCCAGCAAGGCACCTGGGAAGGATAACATCACTGCTGGCGTGCTGTAAAGAGATTATCACCACTGAGCTGTATGAAATATTTTGTCTTTGCTGGAGGGAGGGTGGAGTACCACAAGACATGAAGGATGCAAACATGGTCAAACTATATGAGAACAAAGGAAACGGGGGAACTGCAATAACTACTGTGGCATCTCTCTTGTTAGCATTGTAGGGAAGCTGCTTGCCCATGTTGTGCTGAGGAGGCTCCAGTTCCTTGCAGACAGAGTCTATCCAGAATCACAGTGTGGATTTCGAGCTAATAGATCCACCACTGACATGGTATTTTTCCTTAGTTGCAGGAGAAATGTAGGGAACAATGACAGCCATTCATTGCGGCCTTCATAGATCTTACAAAGTCCTTTGATTTGTTTAGTGGGGACAGCCTTTTTAAAATACTTCCCAAGAGTGGATGTCCACCTCGACTCCTTAACATCATCAGATCCTTTCATGAGGAAATGAAGGGCACAACGTCAGAACCCTTTGACATCTGAAGAGGAGTGAAACAGGGCTGTGTCCTGTTTGGGATTTTTTTTGCTGTCATGCTGAAGCATTCCTTTGGAACTGCAACAGAAGGTGTCTATCTACGGACTGTATCAGATGGAAAACACTCTAATCTTTCTAGATTGAGAGCGAAGACCAAAGTCCAGCAGAAATGCATGCAAGATTTTGCAGCTGCATAATCGCCGATTATGCAGCTGTTGTTGCCCATTCTGTTGAAGAGCTCCAACAACTCATGAATTGTTTTAGCAAGGCCTGCTAAGACTTTGGATTAACAGTCAGCCTGAAGAAAGCACAAATCATGGCCCAGGGCATGGACTCACCTCCCTCTATTACCATGTCCACACAAGAATTGGAGGTTGTTCATGACTTTGTGTACCTTGGTTCAACGATCTCTGATACTCTCTTCCTAGATTGCGAGCTGGATAAACACATTGGCAAATCAGCTACCATGTTCTCTAGACTCACAAAGAGAGTATGGCTTAATAAGAAGCTAATGGCATATACCAAGATCCAGGTCTATAGAGCCTGTGTCCTGAGTATACTCCTGTACTGCAGTGAGTCTTGGACGCTTTGTGCATGGCAGGAGAGGAAGCTGAACACATTCATATGCATTGTCTCTGACACATTTTTGGTATCACCTGGCAGGACAAAGTTCCAGGTAGAGTAATCCTAGAATGAGCTGGAATTTTTAGCATGTATACATTACTGAAACAGTGATGTCTATGTTTGCTTGGGCATGTTGTGAGAATGCCTGACAGTCGGATTCCAAAAAATCTCCTGTATGGAAAATTAGTGCAGGGAAATTGCCCCAGAGGGAGACCACAGCTGCAGTACAAGGATATCTGGAAGCAGGATCTGAAGGCCTTAGGAATAGACCTCAACAGATGGGAAACCTTGACATCTGAGCGTTCAGCCTGGAGGCAGGTGGTGCATCATGGCCTCCCATTTTGAAGAGACACTTGTCCAGCAGGCAGAGGCAGTCCCAAAAACAGCAAAAGCAGGGAGTTGGACAGGGGACAGATTGTATTTGTCTTCAGCGTGGAAGGGATTGTCACTCTTTTATTGGTCTTCTCAGCCACACTAGACCCTGTTCCAAGTCCTCTATTCAGAGCATATTACCATAGTTTCTTGAGACTGAAGGATGCCTAATCTAAAATAAAATCAATAATAACTACCTTTAAAAACAACAGAGCACAACAATGCAATTTGAAATACCTCTCTCAGACTGCCAGTCACAAAGGAAAAGCTTGTCTGAAGAGTAAGGGCTTTCCTTTCTTGTGGAAAGACAGGAAAGATGGGGCCGCCTGGCTTCTTGTGGCAGGGCATTCCAGATTCTGGGAGTAGCAACAGAGAAGGCCCTTTCCTGTGTCCCCACCAAGTGTGCTTGTGAGTATGGTGGGACTGAAAGACCAATATGGTAGGTTACTGGTTTCCACAAGCTGCACCATATTTTATTTGGCAGTTACTATTCCATGATAATTGCTAATGATTAGCAAATAATGTGATGTGTTCAAGACAAACAGGTTTTGCCCTCTCAGCCCATGGATAAACATGGTGGAAAGCTGGTTTGCTTGTTTTAGGGGAAGTTCTGGGTCTACTCCAGAGAACACAAAGTGTGTTGGCCCTTCTTCTTTTCTCCCAGTTAATTCCCATATACACATTCCTGTCTCTAACAAATCTTGTATAATGTTGCAGTTTACAACAATTTAATCGAGAACGACTCCAATTCAGAAGTCAGGCGTGCAGTGTTGTCATGTATTTGTCCATCACCTAAAACTCTGTCCAAAATTATTGGTCGTACCATGGATGTAAAAGAGACAGTCAGGAAATTGGCATATCAGGTAAGCTGACTTTTATTAATGTTACATAGGCTGAAATGCTGTTAAATGTAGCAATTCTGAACTAGAGTTGACCCATTGAATCAGTGGGGATTTGGTGAGTTCTCTAGAAATTAAATTGATTCAAAAGGGACTATTCCAATTGAAACCCTGCCAAGCAACAAGATTTCAGCCTCAATGTGTAATACCTTTATATATGTACCAAACTTTACTAAACATTTTACTACAATGACTTAAGCATTTTGTTTTTGATCAGTACCAGCAATAACAGTATAGAAGGAAATTCAGTAAGACAACTGCTATCTCTTTTATGCCTACCCTATTTGTTAGCCATGTTTCTTAGAAACAGCCTGAAAGCAAAGTGAACATGTCATTAAAAAATCTGCCAGAAAGCAAATGCTTTACAGTTTGCACTGAATTTTTTTTTTGCCTGCTCCAAGAATAGGTTAAAATTTCAGAGAACCCTCGAGGTTACTTGGCATTGAATACTGGCTACTTTGAACACAGGTCTTTGTCTTGTTGAGAATGATATTGTTAGTGTTTATTTCTGCAGGAATTAGATGATACCTTTATTAAATTACTAAAAAAAATTCACACAGTTTGCAAAGTTTTGTGGGTAAAATCCAACTTCCTCAGTCTGTGCATTACCCTTTTATGGAGAGTGCAGAAAAAGTATCCCAAAAATTCATTGCAGATACCTGTGCCAAGTCTGCTTCTGTGAGGTGAATCCAGACTCAGGTAGCAAAGTCAGTTGGGAGGAGTGGTCTCAAGCACCCTCTCTTGTAAGCATGGTTGGAATTTTCCATCCCAAACTCCAAACAAAATATTTGCTAATTTCTTTGTGTCTGCCCAGACACCATCCCATTGCTTGCTTGTGAAACATGAACTTTCCTCTGGACTGGGAGTTGCAAGGGGTGGGGGAACAATTCAGAGACATAGCAACTTCTGTTGGTTGGAATTATATTAGTTTATTCACCAGGTAGAAAAGGAGTCAGTTGTAGCCAAATTAGTCTAATTAATAGTTGTACCTGATGAACAGGTATTTCTACAGTTTGTAGTCACCTCGAAAGTTTATTTCTGGTTTGTGTTCCAAATTCAATATGTAAATGTTACCAGCGGGCAAAATACTAAATTTTGTAATTCAATTTTGCTAGAATTCAGGAAGTCCTAAGAAGAGCTTGAAAATGTTGGATGCAGTCCTGCTGGTGTATGCATAAGGTTTGCATAACTTGCCATGACTAATTGATGAAGTGCCAGCAGACTCCTTGGTTGCATGGTTGCTGAACAGAGCTGAACAGATGTGCAGCCAAGATGTGCCCCACAATGTTGTCAATTAGCTGTGGTTATTTCACAAACCATAGACAAAACCCAGTACAATTCTGACGATTATTTTTTAGGCTAACACGACTACCCCAGCCAACATGATCGATAGCCATGTTGGTCAGTAGATTCTGGCAGTGGTAATCCAGAAATGATCTGTTTCCTGTTCTGGACTTTAGAAGTATCTGGCGGTATATTTGTATCAAAAGATACATTAAGCCAGTTAAAGGGCTTGTAATGAATATTGAAATGTCAAAGTGGGTGAGCATCCATCCATTTTAACTGTATATAGAGAAATGCACTTTCGCATACCTGTTTTCTTAGCAACCAGGAGTGTGTTTACACAATTAAAGCTAGTGCACAAGCTCTGAGTGTTCCTGAGAAGGTAGGCTTGACCTTTCACACATCTGGTTTGATTTACTGTAATGATGGACAGCTTTTGAAAGGTTTTTGGAAATTTCAGCTGGTTCTAAGATTCCCAGTGTGGTGTAGTGGATAGAGTGAAGGACTAGGATTCTAGAGATCACAGTTTGATTCTGCACTAGCTATGGAAACTCACTCGGGGAGGGGAACTGGTGAAACCATTCCTTAAATGTCTCTCCTTGAAAGCCCTATTAAGATTGCTGTAAGTTGGTTCCGACTTAACAGCATGTAACATTAACAACAGCTGGTTCTAAATGTTGTGGACAGATGTTGGTTTCAGGACACATGTGACTCCTTTGTTACAACAGCTTCATGGGTAGCAATCTATTTCTGGACATCTTACTCGAAGTGCTGAATGGGACCTATAAAGACTTGGAATCAAGCTGTGTGATGGATAATATTTTTCCGTTCAAGCTTTGAGAGCCTGAGGAGAAGACTGAAGTAGATGTTTATATTGTTGTTGTTGTTGTTTAGTCATTAAGTTGTGTCTGACTCTTCATGGCCCCATGGATAAGAGCACGCCAGGCCCTCCTGTCTTCCACTGCCTCCCGGAGTTTGGTCAAATTCATGTTGGTCACTTCATTGACACTGTCCAACCATCTCACCCTCTGTCATCCCCTTCCTCTCTTGCCTTCACACTTTCCCAACATCACGGTCTTTTCCAGGGAGACTTCTTTTCTCATGAGTATCCAAAGTATTGGAGACTCAGCTTCAGGATCTGTCTTTCCAGTGAGCACTCAGGGTTGATTTCCTTCAGAATGGATAAGTTTGATCTCCTTGAAGTCCAGGGGACTCTCAAGAGTCTCCTCCGGCACCACAACTAAAAAGCATCAATTCTTCGGGGTCAGCCTTCTTTATGGTCCAGCTCTCACTACCATACGTCAGTACAGGAAAAACCATAGCTTTGACTATGCGGACCTTTGTCGGCAAGGTGATGTCTCTGCTTTTTAAGATGCTGTTGAGGTTTGTCATCACTTTCCTCCCAAGAAGCAGACGTCTTTTAATTTCGTGGCTGCTGTCCCCATCTGCAGTGATCATGGAGCCCAAGAAGGTAAAATCTGTCACTGCCTCCATATCTTCCCCTTCTATTTGCCAGGAGGTGATGGGACCAGTGGCCGTGATCTTAGTTCTTTTTGATGTTGAGCTTCAGACCATTTTTTGTGCTCTCCTCTTTCACCCTCATTAAGAGGGTCTTTAATTCCTCTGCACTTTCTGCCATCAGAGTGGTATCATCTGTATACCAGAGGTTGTTGATATTTCTTCTGGCAATCTTCATTCCGGCTTGGGAGAAACTGATGTAAGGTGAAGCTATCAGCAGCTCCCAGTCATGATGGCTCTATCTTATCTCCAATGGAAAAGATAACATGTCTCTAAATATCACTTTCTGGGAGTCAGCAGGAAAGGGCTATTGTCTTGCATGTGGGCTCCCTGAAGGCATCTCTGTGGTCACTTTTCAGGGAAAATTATGTACTAAATAGGCTTTTGGTTAGACATGGCATAGCTGATTTTACATTTTGATTAATAGAGACATTTGCTATGATTTACAGAAATTCATTGTTAATCAAATGCTAAAGTAGTCTTTTCTTCCAAAGGTTCTCGCAGAAAAAGTTCATATGAAAGCTTTGACAATAGCCCAGAGAGTAAAACTTCTGCAACGAGGACTTAATGATAGATCAGGTAAAATATTTTTATTTTAATGTACACTTCTCTCTTTTGTGTGTTTGTTCAATGTTCTAGGGTTCCCCAAATCCCCTTTTTCAAAGCTTTAGTGAAATACATCATGATGTTGTGCAAAGCAAGGACTCCTAAGCATACATACCTGGTAGTAAGACCCATTAAAACCCCTTTGGCATGCCTAGGGGTAAAGATTCAGACAATGATTGTGTGATATGGGCAGCCTTCACGTTGCTGGTAGCATTAATACATTCTCCAAAGTATAACTTCTTTCTTAGCTTAACTAAATTTCCTATGCTAGAAGAAAACCCTGCTAGAAAAGAGGAGTTGTGGACACAAATGTTAGTATTTGGGTGAAAATTATTTGAGGACATTTGTTAAAACTGAGGGTGGGAATTTTGAAATTCTAGGACTTCCAGTCTCAGAAGTTACCAATAATCCCTCAGGTAGACCTCTGGGTGATGAGAAACCAGAAGACAAAAGAGATATCTATCTACCTACATATTGTCCTTCTCTTCAAGTGTATCAACTGAGAAGCAGAAAGAAATGCTCCCTCAACTGCACTGCTTCCTGGGAGTCACCCCACTGTTCCATGGGAATCTCACTGACCATTAGGCTCTATAGGGCAAACCTTTCACTGAACTACATTCTCATGGACTGATGGGGGTATTTCTTTCTTCTTTTGAGCCAAACCTCACAGAGTACAGTAGGGAATGGTGGTAGAAAGCCATCTCTTTTGCCTTCCAGTTTCTCCTTTCCCAGCCCCAGAAGTCTCCCTAGGAACGTCTAAGCGACTTCTGGGACCAGAAGTCTAGAATTATGAACATCCCATCCTTAATTAAAAGAAACTTGTCAAATCTGAGAATGATGTGAAGAGGTTATATAAATGCAGTAAAAGAACAAATACAATGGCTGTCATCAGTTGCATGGGTGTAAATTTAGAACTTTGGCCAATATATTTTAGTACAAGCTATTAATTATTTCAAAAAGTCCTAGTTAATTATTGCTGCACGTGTTTGAAGCAGTAGATATTGTGTGACAGTCCAATTTAGCATTCTATAAGTCAATTCAAAAAATAGGGGTGCCCCAAACAAAAAATTATAACTTTGGAACTGGACCTTGGATCAGCACCACATTTGGCACAGATGTAGCGGATAGTCTTCTCTTGCTCTGTGCCAAATTTGGAGATGTTTTAGAGTCAGGATTTTTTTAAAAGATAAAACAGTTTTAACCCTTGTGCAGACACAGTCAACCTTCCGTGTTTATAGATTTAAACCAATTTTGAAAACATCAGGCTTGCTTATCTTGACAGAGAATAGTTCAATCCTTTTTTTTTAATTTGGAAGGAATCTGGGCATCGATGGTTCTGATACTGATATTTAAAGTAGCCATTTGAAAGGGATGAAAAGTCAGTTTTTGGGTTTCTTATAAACTCCAACATTCTAAAGGTAAACATAAACATTGTTTCAGCTTGAGAGCCAGGGAGGTCTGAATTTTTGACCCAGCCAGAATCAAATTAAACCACTTTGAGGAGGAAAACACTTAACTCATTCCTGGTGAAAAAAGACATTAAAAAAAGTTTCTATTTCTGTATAAAATTATTAAAACATATAGAGAATAAATATTCTTTGTGGTCTACGTGAATTCACATCAATGGGTTTTGTGTTGCGCATGTGCAAATCCTTGGAACATTCTAGAGCTTAGAGCAGAAAGAGATTGTTAAAAGCCCCACCCCTCCCGCATTGCTTCTTTGTGGTTCTAATGGTCCTCCCTCAGTTCCTTTTTTGCTGCTGCTTTGGATGCATCTAACGATTGTTCTGAAGCTTACTACATTTTGTAGTCTATTTTCTTCATTTTTTTTCTACATTGTCTACAGATCTTCTTTCCATGAGTTGTCTCTCCTAAAGGGAAAGGTTTTTGGCGGTCTATTGTGGTTCTCCCCAAAACATCTACCCTTCCCCTAGGCCCTTTTATAGCCTCTAAGGGCCCTTTCAAGAAGTGCCACTCTTATGGCAACAAGCTACCCCTCTCCAACATTCCCTCTGCCATTTCTGCTCGGAAGAAAACACGAGCCCTAGTTGTGCCACCATTGCAAAGGTTTCACTAAAGCTGCCCTCTGTCATCATTTGGCTTGCCTGAAAGCTCACCTCTGGGAAGCTTCTCTTCAAGCTGTTTCCCCCATGGAAACCCCAAGAGATTCAGCCCCAAACTTGACAGACATCATGCAACCAAGGTCTAACCATTGGCTTCTAAATTTTTTACCTCTAAATCCTCAATCAAAGCTATCGAAATTGAAAGCCTTGGTTCTCTAGGACTCCGCTTCCAAATTGAAGTCTTTCATCCATTTACCAAGAGGCCTCTTAAGCATCACCAGCTTCCTCAGTCAACCCGAACACCTATCACGGCTGTTATTATCTCTCTGCTCTCCAGGTCAGACAATAAGGCTCTTGAGCTTCGGGACTGTCTGCCTTCTCCTGCCTTCATTTTCCTGCATGGATGCACAACATCCCATTAAGCCAAAATGTTGCCCCCCCCACTCCCCAGGGTCATGCATGTCTTCTCATGCCACCCCACAACACTATTTTCTGACCAACTGCTGTACTGCAACTAGGGTCTCACACTCTTCCTCTACCATTGAGGTTAACTTTACATTGTCCACCCACAATACCATCAGACATCCAATCCTGTGGTCTACTACAGAGATCAAGAGTGGTTGGAACCAACAACCTCCAACACTTACTGCCCTCCACATTACCTGGGAGAGCACACCAACCCCCATCAAGGGATGCAACGGGCCTCCACCGGGTGGTGTTGCACCTCTGACTTGCTGTTGGTTGCCTGGCACTGACACCAGAGTGTTTCTCAAAACCACTATCACTCTGACCACCCTGGATATCCAGAGGTTTCATATCCAGAGGTCTTGTATTAGTACCAACATCTGTCAGTGACCGTCTCTGTACCACCCTCTCACCACGAGACCGAGCTTCCAGGCCATTCCAGGTCCCATATTGGCCTCCCTGAGGCCCTTCTCTAAGAGACACTACTGTGGACTTGAGCCTGTGTTGGCTCCAGAACCAAAGAAGGCTCGACATTATTGCTCTCACCAGATGCCTCCGCCACCTCCTTTTGGTGCCATTGCCCTATGCATCTACATTTGGAGCTGAATAGGAACACCTCATTACCTGTTTCAAACGCTCAGTTCCGACAGCTTTCACTGCCCTGCAGCCTCCCCATTCTCTGCCACCAATATCAGGTGGGAATACTGCCAGCTACCATATCAGCTGTTACCAATTCCAGACTCCAGTCTATCAGTTCCAAGGGCTTTCCTGATTCTGCATCGTTATTGTCAGAAGGCACCCCTTTGGTGCTGATTACTACACCAGAATCAGACATGGCAGACACTTGTCCACTGTCCCCTTCTCCAGGCTTACAATCCTATTCAGACCTCATACTTTGCCTGGCTTAGTCACTGGAGCTTCAAGCCCAAAAGCCCCCACCACAACACAGCGACTCCCACTACAATGAGATCAACAAGAATTCCTCTGTGCTGGTCTAGCTCGCAATTATGCCATATCTACCCAATATTGCCAATGATATTTGAGTCAAACCCTCCTCAACTCCACCCACTTCCAAGCAGGTGGAAAGCTTCTACAAAATCTTTGAGGCAAGGGTGAACTTCCTGACCAAACATCCACCCACACCAAATTCTATTGTTATAGATGCTGCCCAGATAAGATCAAGGGGCTGTCAACCAGCCGCCCGAACAATAAAGAGGGCATCAAGATTGATTTCTTGGGCAGGAAGCTTTACTCTACTGCTTCTCTGGCTTTGAGAGTAGCCAAATACCAGTGGGCCATGGGGGCCTATACTAAACACTTCAGAGCTAAACTTCAGCCCTGGTTGTAAAACCTCTTGAAGAATTTCATCCCTAGCTCCATCAGGAATCTCTAGTGGTTGCTGCACAGCAGATGAGAGCTGCTCATCATGCCACAGAGTGTGCAGCCTGCCAGGTCTTCACTGCTGGCTCCCTTAGGCATCATTCCTGGCCACAATCAGCAGGCCTGCCTGATGATGCTTGCACTTGTATTGAGAATCTTCCTTTCAATGGCAAGGGCCTCTTCAACACAAAGATCGACAATATTATGTATGATCTCTATAAAAAGAGAAATGGTGCCAAATGCCTCAGAGTATATCAACTTACCTATTGGGTTACCTGTCCTCAAGCTAATAGGCCTTGTTTCACATCCCCAGCCTCTGTTGCCTATTTCGCCTCCAAGTCTCATCGCTCTAAGTTTCTCCAACTAACAGCTGTCAAACGGCCTAACCACAAATCCACACAATCTTTCTGACTTGCTCTCCATGAGGTACATGCAAATTCCCTTCCTCATTGGTGTCACATTATAACTGACAGGTGTGTTCTGCATATAGTTCAACATGGGTATGCTATAGAATTTAAAACTCTTCCCTGGTGGGCATTTTCAGATCCACACCACTATCCATCACTCTATTTCAGGAGGTCTCTGATCTCCTCCAGAAAGATGCCATCAAACCAGTCCCACAGTCTCATTCATTGCAGTTTCTTCTCTCGCTACTTCACAGTACAAAACAACGATGGTGGCCTCTGCTCCATCCTGAGTCTCAGAAACCTCAATTCTTACATCTGAGCCACCACATTTCGAATGACCACACTTGAAACTGTCCTACCACTCCTTCATTGAGGGGGGGGTGGTTTACTGTCATGGATCTCAAAGACACCTATTTTTATATCAATATCTACCTGGACCACAGAAGATTCCTTTCCTTCGCTCTCAACCCACATGCCTTCCAATTCAAGATCTTACCCTTTTGGACTCTCCACTGCCCCCGCATTTTCACAAAATGCATGGCCCCAGTTACATCTTACCTCCGTACCTGAGGAATCACTGTCTAGCCATACATAGACAACTGGCTCCTTGTCACCATCTTAACGGCAAGCAAGACAGGACATTGTCTTTATGATCTGGACCTTGCAGTACCTTGGTCTTCACATCAATCTTCAAAAATCCACACTCTGCCCCTGCAGACCCATTCAATATATTGGGGCCATCCTTGACTTCCACTCAGGTTGGGCATATCTTCCTCTAGAAAGACAACACAAGCTTGTGGCCCTAATTCAAGCCTTCTCCTTGGGCACCTACATATCAGCCCTGTGGGTGCAGAAGCTGCTGGAAATAATAGCATCTATCACATCAACGGTTGCCCATTCCAGACTCAACATGAGTTCCCTTCATGCATGGTTCTTGGCCCAGTTTGACCCTCTCTGGGACCCTCAAACCAAACGTCTTCTAGTTACTCATAAATTTAGCCTCCAACTTCAGTGGTGGACTCGCACTCAACATTGGTCTGGGCAGGCTTTTCCAACCCCTACGCCCGAAGCTCCAACTTACCACCGATGTCAACCTCTCTGGCTGTGGTGCCCACTGTTCCGGTCTTCATGTTCACAGCCGATGGTCAGCCTCAGATGCGGGTCACCACATAAATGAACTGGAGCATTCCAGTCCCCTAGAATGACAAGAACATTTTTCTTTGGTGTCAGTTCTAGAAGGTGTTGTAAATCTTCATAGAATTTTCAGTCTCCTCAGCAATGGTGGTTGGTGCATAAACTTGGATTATTGTGATGTTGAAAGGTTTGCCTTGGATTCGTATTGACATCATTCTATCATTTTTGAGTTTGTATCCCATTACAGATTTCTCACTCTTTTGTTGACTATGAACGCTACTCCATTCCTTCTACGGGATTCTTGCCCACAGTAGTAGATATGATAATCATCTGAGTTGAATTCGCCCATTCCTGTCCATTTTATTTCACTGATGCCCAGGATGTCGATGTTTATTCTTGCCATCTCCTGTTTGACCACCTCCAGCTTTCCAAGGTTCATAGATCTTACATTCCAGGTTCCTATGCAGTATTTTTCTTTACAGCATTGGACTTTCCTTTCACTTCCAGGCACCTCCACAGCTGAGCGTCCTTTCGGCTTTGGCCCAACCACTTCATTAGCTCTGGAGCTACTTGTACTTGTCCTCCACTCTTCCCCAGTAGCATGTTGGACGCCTTCCGACCCGAGGGGGCCATCTTCCAGCGTCATATCTTTTAGCCTTTTGTTTCTGATCATGGGACGTTCTCGGCAAAGATACTGGAGTGGCTTGCCATTTCCTACTCCAGGTGGATTGCGTTTAGTCAGAACTCTCCACTATGTCCTGTCTGTCTTGGGTGTCCCTGCACGGCATAGCCCATAGCTTCTCTGAGTTACTCAAGCCCCTTCACCACGACAAGGCAGCAATCCATGAAGGATTACCCTAATATCCTTTAATAAACCAGTTCTGTTGCTGGTAGCCAGTGTCAGACTAAAGTCCTTTACAGCGTGGATAAAGAAATCCACTGGTGGCAGCGAAAGAAACAGGGAACGCCACCAGCGTGAGCCCTTTTGGGTTGAGAAAAAGAAACAGGGGCACGGGGTGGACGTAACAGTAGGTATAGAAGAACAATATCCCATATTCCTAACCTGAAGGTGTTTTTTTTGAAGGACTGAATAATATCTAAGTTGTTTATCTGCAAGCTAATATATGTTTATTTTTGAAAGTTTCTAGAACACTAATTCTGAACACTTAAAGAAATTGTATCTTAGTTAAAATTCTTCTGCTTAAACAGAAGCTGTGAAAGAAGTAGTTCAGAAGCAACTTCTTCAAGCGTGGATATGTCTGGTTGAGGGGAATGTGTTAGAACTGCTTCATCGATTGGATGTGGAAAGTTGTCCCGATACTGGAATTTCAGCACTTAATGCCATATTTTCACTGTCTCCACCCAATGACTTGATTAAACATTTCTCAGACCTTGATGATAGGTATGTTTGTATGTCTTCTACAACTGTATTTTTACTTAGAATTTGCTTCTTGTATTTATATTTAACATTGCTAAAAGAGAACAACTTTCTGTAGTGGGAAAAGAGTCTTGTAGTTCTGGAATTTCATTTCTTTTTTATTATATAGTGCCTCTTGCCGCCATATGGTTGTGATGGATTAGAGACCTCCACAGAAATAGATCCTAAAGGCTATGTTCTCCTCCCCTCTTTTGACAATCTTTTTATATGGCTGTTCTTCACTTTCTGCTTGTGAAGTGTTTAATTTCTGCCTTTTACCCAAGTAGAGAATGTCAGGTGGCTACTGTGGAGTAAAAAAGATGTTTTCCTACTCCTCTTCATTTCTTTCAGAATGTATGGGTTTTGGTGGAACACATGTCTTGGAGGATGCCACATTACTACTACAAGGGGCCTGTCAACTCATTCTCCTTTGTGGTTGGTTTTGTTGTTCTTAGAAAGCTGTCTAGAACTGGCTGGGGGAAAAAGTTGGTTTTCTATGTATAGTGTGTCCCAAGGTGTTATGTTGCTGTTGGCCTTGTTCATTTATACAGTGGTGCCTCACTTAACGATGATAATTGGTTCCCAAAAAATCGTTAAGTGATTTCATCGCTAAGCGAAACACGGTTTCCCATAGAAATGCATTGAAAACAGGATAATCCGTTCCAATGGGAACGGATTGCCGTCCTTAAGCGAAAATCGCCATAGGAAACATCGCTAAGTGAAACACGGTTCTCCAATTGAAATGCATTGAAACCTATTCAATGCATCTTAATGTGGAAAACATTACAACAAATTTAAAAAGAGTCGGAACAAAGTCAGATTAGTTTAACAAAGGGTTTATTAAGTGCACTTATGATTTCAAGCATTCTAAACATTTTTTTAACATTTTTAAACATTTAAAAAACAGCCAACATGAAGCTATCAAAACCATCATTAAGCGAAACAGGGAGACCCAAACTGTCATCGCTATGCAAAGCATGGTCCCAAACATCACTATGCGAAAATTGCCCATAGGAACCATCGTTAAATGGAGTGCAAGATCGCTCTGAAAAAGTCATCGCTAAGCAATTTCTTCATTAAACGAAGCAATCGCTAAGCGAGGCACCACTGTATTATGGCTTTAAAAAACACACATACACAACTCTTACCACAAGTTGTTTTGTAAACAGAAACTTCCCTCACATCATTGATGTTTGTATATACAGTTCTCCCTTGAATTGCACAGGCCTGATCTGGGTTCAAGAAGATACTGAGAGAGTGCATCAAATGGGATTTAAATGCTGGGCTTGTTTGATGCCAAGAGATGTTGACAGATTTTGTAATTTTTAGAAGTAATTGTTTATGAAAGCAGCTACAGAAAAATCTGGAAAGTTGTCATATAAGGATATCCAGATATATCAAGATCTTTGTTTTCAAACTGTACCCTGGAGGATAGCCTGAAAATCAATAACAGCCACCCTCATGAAAAATAATACAAGTTGTAATTGGGAGTATACAGTACAGTGGTGCCTCGATTTATGAACCTAATCCGTATTGGAATGGTGTTCACAAGTCAAAATGTTCCTAAGTCGAAGCACCATTTCCCATAGGAATGCATTGAAAACCGATTAATCCGTTCCAACTGAAGAAAAAAATCACCAAAAAAATAAAAAACACAACAAGCCGAGTCAGGAGGTGCTCTGTTGCAGAGGTTTAAGAAAGAAAAAAAGCCTCCAGAAACAAACACTAAAGCCACCTCCGTTGCTGAGGTTTAAGAAGAAGAAAAACCTCCAAAAACAAACAGCAAAGCCACCAACAACACAGCACAGAAACATACCCGCCCGAGCCAAAATCCACCCAGAACAGTTTTTTAAAAGGAGAAAACAGCAGCTGACCTCCCTGCAGACACACACACATAGGCTCGCTCTGAAGCAGGAGGCTCTCCCAAGCCTAAGAAGAAGACCCGTGTCTTGTCCAGATTCAACTTTAGCCTATTGGCTCTCATCCAGTCCATAGCTAAGGTAAGGCAGCACTCCAGGGATCTGTACAGCTTTCTCTGCTGAAGATGAAATGGATAGATAGAATTGTGTGTCATCAGCATACTGATGATGGTGTATTCCAAATGTCCTCCACCAGCAGCCTTATATAGATGTTGAACAGCAGTGGCAGATGATTAACCCTTATGGGACGCCACATTGTAGGACCTACAGGGATGAGACAGCATCCCCAAACTGGACCATCTGGCACCAGTTGTCAAGAAAGGACTGAAGCCAGCACAATGCTGTACCTCCAATCCCCAATACCAACAGCTGGTCTGGGGGATATCATGGTGCATTAATTTAAAAGCTTGATGGTTCTTGCTTGGCAAAAAAGCCAAAACACATTGTTTTCATGATACAAGCATGACTTTTCTGTGATCTTCTCCTGTTCTTTTGTTTTAAAGAAAATTAATTCCAATAGAAAAACTAACTGCGGAAAATGCTTTATTCTGGAGGGCTCTTTCTGAATACTTGAAATTGAAAGGGGAAGAATTTTTGGAGTACATTCTGCCAGAACCTGCTGTATATGCAGATTATTTGTTAAGGTAAATTTATAAAAGGAAATCAGAAAACTAATGTGTTTGTTAAATATAGACTGCTTTCTTCTCACAGTTAAATTCTTCTCTTCATCTCAGTTTCTCAGTTGTGGCCCTCTTCTATTCTGTCACATAGAGAAACAAGCAACTAATGTAGCTGTCTTGTTAATGTGTGTGTGGAGTATAGAGAAATGTCTGTGAGGGGCAAAACAGGTTCTGAAAGCTTTGGATCTTGTGAAGTAGTTACATTTCAATGGGAAGTGAAATGTGATCTTGAGAACTTCATCTGAGTATGTTCAACCTCCAAAATCATTGGAAGAGGGTGGGAAAAGACTAAAATGAAAGCCACCTATGACATCTGGTGAAGACGGCTTTGCTCTTTAGAGAAAGAGTGGCTCACCTGCAACATGACACTCCTGCCTTGGCATGACCACCACCCTTGCCCGTGGTGCAGGTGGCTGGACAGGTCTCTCTCATAGTTTCCATAGACTCTATGTTCTTGTCCTGCTGGTACTGGCCTTAATTAGGATAAGGAAGGGACGCAATGTTATTTGGATGTTGTACTCCTCCCATTCCGATAGTCGCCTTTAGAACTTCCTCATCATTCTCAGGCTTCAATTGGGCCTTAGTCCTGTTCACTGGACTTCCACTGTTTCTGGTCTGGGTCTGGGTACTGGTTTGCAGCACTGACACCAGCCAACTGATGCCCTTTAGGGAGAGCTAGTAATGCTGGGATGATGAAGGTCCCCAAGCCCCAGTAGCTCATCCCACTCCCACAGGATCTGCTTTAGGTGCTCTCTGTGGTGCATCCTCCTCCAGTGCTGCTTCTGCATTAGGCTGGGGTGGGGATGACTGGGCCAGACATCTGTTCCGTTGTTGTGGGGCAACAAGCATGCCCCTTACCCCTAGAGAAGTGGCCCCATTCTCCTGTCCCAAGGGTTATGTAGCAGCAGTGACTGAGGTTGCAGAAGATGGGAGGGAGCTCTTTGAGGCCTCAGCCCAATCTTCTGACTCTGAGTCCATCAAGGATGATGAGTCCTCTCCTCCTCCTCTTTAATTCTGGCTCCCAGCCTACTATTCAAGCCTACTGTCCACCTTTGAAGTCCCACGTGGGGCTATACTCCTGCCTTCTGTGCTGTCAGGCTGCTCTGCTGCCAGGGTTTTCAGGAAGTCCACTGCAGGGGGCGGGGGGGGGTGCTTGTATGAGCCAGGGCCCACTGTGGACAACTGGAATGTCTCCCTCACACTTGATAAAATGTATAGGATTGGGAGGAATACAAATATATTTAAAAACCCACTGAACAAATAACAATTTGTTTTTAATTAAGTTATCTTCAGAATATGCCAGTTCTCAATGGAGAAGAAAAGGAAGACATGGCATGTATTGAACACTTGATGACCAAAGAATTTATAGGACAGCAGCTGCTTATTATAATAGATTTCATGGATACCACTGAAGAGGGAGGAAGGTAAGGCTTAGATTAGCAACAAAGAGGGCATTGTTGTATTTTTTTAAATTAGCCTTTAGAAGTATTTTTTCCCCTGATGCATACCGAACTGGAAAAATATTCATTAGCTCTATTCAGACCATACGATGTTCAAAATGCTGACCATTTTGTCTCAAAATTTGGCATATGCAGTAATTATCAATAGAAAACCATGGACTTGGTTGTCCAATGATCAAATTTGGATTAATGTTAGCATTATGTGTTAAGGAGAATTTAACTCCCACAGAAAATCCATCAAGTATCAAATTAATTGGAAAACGATATAGGTATATTTTCAGAAGCTTCACATTATATAAAGACATTTTGCTTCTACAAAGCAAGAGGTAAAGATAGACTCAAGGGCAGTTCTCTGATAACATACATTCCAGCAAGCCAGGCAACTTACCTAAAATTAATGTTAAGTGGTTAATGTCTTTCCTTTGTTATCAAATGATCAAAGGTATTGTGCTTCTTACTATTCAGTATCATTCAGCTACTTACACCAGAAAAGGAATTGATTTGCTTTGCTTTTAAACTGGGAAAATGAGTATTCAGTAACAATAATAATATAGCAATCCATGAGATGAATTTGGGTATGTGGAGAATGGAAAAGATAAGAGAACCTAGTGAAGACTTAATAAAGTCAACAGTGAGAATGAGAGCGCTGTGCATGGAAGGTGCAAATGGAGCAGAAAAGCGGATAGTATTGCTTGTGTACAGGCAAGATTTATAGTTGCAGTTGGAGCTAGATACTTGCATGCCAACCACAGGTAAAGTTTAGTAGCCCAACTCTGTAGCAGAATGCTTTCCTATCTTTGAGTTATGAAGAAATAGGAATGTTTAACAGAGGCACAGATAAAGTTCCAGTTAAATTTGCTCCCTAACAAGGCTTTCTTCTTAGTTCTTAGACTAAGCATTTTTTATTTTGGTGTATCTTCTACTCACAGATTTTTATGCTTTATCCAAGTCATGCTATCTGTATTTTGTCAGCTCTAGACTGCATGTTTAACAGCATATTTAGTGACTTTTTAATGCATTTTTGCAGGCTTTACAGTCAGTCTTACAAAGGTATCAACTCCCACAATAGTAAAAAATAGTAATAGATTTCTTTGACACCAGGCTTAACATTCATTTATGTAGTATAAATTATATTGCAATATAAAGCAAAAATCAGACAAACTTAAAAGACAGAGACATGAGCATAACATAGGAAAATACCATTTCACACAAGTTCAGTAATCACTTTTACCAAATCTAATGTTAGACTCAGAAGGCATTTGCATGACTGCATGTATTCTCTTTTTCTCTTGGGCAGTTTTTGTAATGTTTCCTCAGCACAAAATATAGTTTGTGTACAACTTAGCATCTGATCCTTTTAACTGATTAACAGCCAACCATTACTCTTTAGGTTCCAAACTACACCAATGACATAAATAAAACAAGGTTGATATTTCAAATAATTGATACCTAAAGTTTGCAGAATCATTTAATTAATTAATTGTTATAAATTTTTCTTGAACTTGTTATGCTTTATGTTGTAAGCCACCTAGAGTGGTCGAAATGACTAGATAGGAATAAATAAATAAATAAATAAATAATGTTTCATCCTTATTTGAGAATGTTGCTTAGATCACTGATAGCCTGAGAGCAGGCTGTCCTATGTTTTAAAGTTCATGTGCAGTGTTGGAACATCCTTTCCTTGGTAGCCCATGCACAAAGGTCAAAATGCTATACTAATTGTGCTGGCATGCATTTTACTTTTATTTGGTTACTAGAAGTTCAGTTTTATGCCTAGTCCAGTTTTGCCATCAACTACAGGCCTTTGCTTCGGATTTCTTGGGCACATAGTTCAATTAGTTCTTTCAGCTAGTAGTTCAACAAAGAAAATGCTGATTCGGTATCTAACAAGTGCCTTTTATTTTATTTTTTGTAAATTATTAAGTATTAAGTTTGTTTTTCTTATACGCAACTTACTTGGGTTTGATAAAGTCAAGATAATTATTTTGAGTTTCAAAATATTCAAAATAAAAAATGTTCTTAGTGTTTCTTAACAACTAAAATTAGGAAATATTTGTGACATTCTAGGTACTAGATTTCTACTTTGGCTATAATTTTATTTAGGCATATTCTGATGTTTCGCACCTCGCATAAGAATTGAGGGAAAAGTGGTTTCTGTCTCTTAATGTGAAGTTAGCAGCTGCATTAATTAAGCTGTACAGCTGAGCTGGTTGGAAAGAGAAGCAAAGAAGCTTGTAAATGTGTTAGAAAGCAGTGAAGTAGCTAACATAGAACTTTTGTTCCATTAACAACAGCTAATACCCTGTCCTTCGATTCTGAACAAGAATATGAAATGCTTGTTCTTTTAAACTAATAAATACATTTTACTATTTGGGAAAGCCTTCATCCTTTATGTTTTTTTTTCAAAGGAAGAGATTGCTGACTGTATTACAAGAAATTCTTATGATTCCAACCACTTCAGCATCCCTTGTACCACCACTTATGGAAAACCTGCTCCATATTATCAAAGACGATGACAGAAGAATCCAGACTGTATGTTCTTGTATTTGTAAACTTTTAGAAATTTTAACATCTATAGCAAATGATACTAGTAAAGTATTTCTATTTCCAGCATACTCATGTATGCATTGTTTGCTAGCATTAAGTGCTTTTTGCTGTGTTTGGAAAAAAATGAGTG